GATATTTATAAACGTATCATGAGACATTATGACATGAAGGCTACATGTATGGATTATCTGTAATTGTACATAAAATGGTTTACAATAAATCGTCAGGATTGAGTTGAAAGGCTACCTATTCAACAACTGAAATAGACAACAAATTTTCTTTATTTCAGCTCAAAAGGTTTTTTTGATAATATACACAACTCTAGTCGGTTAGTTTAGGGGCTTTTAGGGTGTCTTTTGAAGTCACTACGATCGCGCATTTCGTCCTAGGAGAGATCTCCCGACTAAATCATTCTACATCCCAGTGAGCACTATTGTCATTCGTACTTGATTCCAGCATCTATAGCTTACTACATTCATGTTATCCATTTGACTGGTGATTTATGACAATCACTTATTGACCTTATTCAGAAGCAATATTGAAGGATCTGCAAAGTGATCTCATATACTGAGGTTGGTTGTATCATTAATAGGAAGTTAAAATCGTGATTCGCTATCGCATATGAAAATAAAACTGCATTACGGCATTGATTCCAACAGGTGGCTTCAGTCTACAGACTTCCCCCGACTGGTAATCTAGAGACCGGTGTTTCAAATCCTGAGGCGGCTGACGTTTCTGTTTCACGCTGAATCATCACGCTTTATCGGCACAAACGTATGTTTGACTTACCTTTTTACTAAACAAACTAAAATTTCGTGGAAAAAAGCCAACAGGAGAAAAAAGAAATAGAAATTACATTAAATGGTACGGTGTTATGCTGATAGAAACGTAGGTCGACATAGGACCAGGCATTACCGCGTAACGGTTCAAGTTGCAACAGCGCATATCAGAACAACGAGAAAAAAGGCACTGTGGTGGAAGATGAAGAAAAGAAAATTAACTCGAAAGAAATGCAAAGTATTAAAAGAGAGAAAGGTAGAATGCTAAAATGGTGAGATTCTGTATAGCATCGTTAAGATGAGGATAATATATGTATACGTCCACGCTACTGACATCGGCTCTGAGCCATATCACCTAGAATCACTCTCCAACCACTGGTTTCTCTTGTCCTGTAGACCTCAACCACCTAGTCTGCATCGCCCCACATGCTTCAAACCAACAGTCAAAGACTCCATAGACTGAGGCCATGTTTTGGCCTGGCCACCTCGAGCCCTTTTCCAGTCTGAACCTACTTCGGCCTCCTTGTTATCCACTGGTAATTTTTGTACCACTTATTGTTGAGAACTAAAGTCAGCTAACAGCTAAGCATTTGGCTAAGTTTTATGTTAGAGATGTCACAGTTGTACCATCTTCATGAATCATAAACTTATCAAATATTTTTTTCTTAACATTTAAATGAATAAGTGGATGGAAATCATTAGATTGCTATGAACATTCACCTTGATTAGTTACAGACTATAAGTTTGAGAAGAAAGCATTTTAACCTATCAGTTATGAGAAGTTGGTCTTTTTCAGATCAAAATTTCTTACATATCAGCATTCCTCTGAAACGAATCGGAAGCAAGAAATCATAGGTCAACGTTGAATAGCTCTTAAGATAAATGTCTTCTAGTGACATCATTTGTGTTATCAATTTCAATAGTAAAGTTTATTATTATTAGTACCTTGGGTTCCTAGTGGAACATAGGGCTTCAGTAGCACGCCTCCAGTGAACTCTGTTCTCTGAGATCTTTTGAACCTGGTCCCACGACAGCTCAGAAGCTCTCATTTCCTGCTCGCACGACCTCCTCCATGTCACCCTCAGACGCCCAACTCGTCGCTTCCCATGGGGATTCCACTCGAGGGCCTGACGCGTGATGTCCTCAGTCGGCCTTCTCAGTGCATGGCCAATCCATCTCCACTTCTTCCTGCATATTTGTTGCGTGATAGGTTCTTGATTGGTTCGTTCCCAGAGTTCCTTGTTGCTTATTCTTTCTGGCCATCTGATCATCAGCAGCGAGCGTAAGCAGTTGTTGATGAATGTCTGTAGTTTATTGGAAATCCCTTTCGTGACGCGCCAAGTCTCTGAACCATACAGGAGCACTGACTTGACGTTGGTGTTGAAAATCCGTATCTTGTTCCGCATGCTGAGTGCAGAAGATCTCCACACTGGTTTCAGGCTAATGAACGCCTGTCTTGCTTTTCCGATTCTGACTTTGACGTCCTCGTCAGTGCCGCCTGAAGTTGAAACAGTGCTTCCTAGATAAGTGAAGGAGGTTACTTCCTTCAAGTTTCTCCCGTTGACGGTGATTGGAGTTTGTTGTTGCTGTTGATGGTGGTGGTGCGGTATCTTCATCACTTCTGTCTTCTCTATATTCACCTGAAGTCCCGTCTTAGCTGCCTCTTCTATCAACTTGTTAGTTTTTGCCTGCAGATCTTCAAGTTTATGTGACATTAGGCACAAGTCATCGGCGAAATCCAAGTCTTCTAGGTTCTTTTCCGTCGTCCAGTGTATCCCCCTCTTCTCGCTGCCTACTGTTTGCTGCATGATCCAGTCCACCACAATAAGGAATATCATGGGGGATAGTAGGCAACCTTGTTTCACTCCTGTCTTCACTTCAAAGGCATCACTGAGCTTCCCATTGTGGATTACTTGGCATGTGGCATCTTCATATAGTTGTTGAATGAGGCGGATAAAGGTTTGCGGTACTCCGTAGTAGTGAAGCAGCTTCCAAATTACTTCTCGGTCGACGCTGTCAAAGGCCTTCTCAAAGTCGATGAAGTTGAGGTGGAGAGGTGATTGCCATTCTATGCTCTGTTCTATGATGATGCGTAGCGTTGCAATTTGGTCTGCACATGATTTGTACTTCCTGAAGCCTGTCTGTTCCGGTCGCAGTTTTGAATCCAGTGCGTCTTTAAGCCTCTCTAGGATGATGCGGCTTAATATTTTACTTGGGGTGGACAGGAGTGTGATTCCGCGCCAGTTCTTGCAAGCACTGAGGTCTCCCTTCTTCCAATCGTCAGGTACCTTCTCTTCCTTCCACACCTTCTGCAATAGTGGTGTGAGCATGTCCGCTGTTGTCTCTGCATCTGTTCTCAGTGCTTCTGGCGGTATTCCATCTGGTCCTGCTGCTTTCCCGCATTTCAGTAGCTTTATGGCGTTCAGGACTTCCATTTTCATTGGGGGATTAATGTTCACTTGTAATTCAGCGGCTGCAGGTGGTATTTCTGGACGAAGTGCAGGTGGTGGTCGATTCAAGAGCTTCTTGAAGTGGTCGGCCCATCGTTTCCTCTGTTTCTCTTCTTTTGTAATTAAATTTCCCTCTTCATCTTTTATTGGTTTCATCTGTGTTGGTCTCTTCCCTGATAGCAACCTGGTTATTTGATACAATGTCGTCAGGTCTCTCTTACCTGCAGCCTGTTCTGCTTCCCTTGCCAGTGTTTCGTAGAAGTGTCTTTTGCCTTTGCGTGCACTCTTCTTCACTTCTTTATCCAGTGTTTTATACATTGTGCTCAGTTCCTCTTGTCGTTGAGCATCCTTGCACTGGTTTATCTTCTGCTTCACCATCCTCCTCTCCTCTATCAGCTTCCAGGTATCCGTCGAGATCCATTCCTTGTCTTCCACCTTCTTCCTTCCTAATACTGTTGTGCAGGTTTCTTTCCACATCTCCTTCAAAGACTTCCAGTGTTCTTCCACACAGGTTTCTTCAGGGATGTTGCTCGGTGTCTCCCATTTTGTCTTGATGGCTGCCTTGAAGATCTCCTTTGTAGTTTCATCCTTCAGTTTCCGAGTGTTGTACTTGAATTGAGGTCTATCACCAGCTTCCTTGAAGGCTTTTAACTTGATTTGGAAGGTTTCTTGCACTAGATAGTGGTCTGAACCTACATCTGCTCCTCTTCTTGACCTTGTGTTAAGTAGACTGCGTCTCCATTTTCTCGAGATTGAGATAAAGTCGATTTGATTTTTAGTGTGTCCTTCTGGTGAAATCCATGTCGTTTTGTGGATATCCTTGTGCCTGAACACACTGCCTCCAATCACCAAATCGTTGAACGCGCAGAATTCTGCAAACAATTCTCCATTCTCATTCATTTCACCTAGCGCCTCTCGACCCATGGTTCGTTCTCTTCCCGTGTTGTCCCCTCCCAGTTTGGCATTCATGTCGCCCATTAGAATTTTGATATCGCCAACTGACGTCTTGTCCAGTGTTGATTGAAGTTGTCTGTAGAAATCCTCCTTTTTCTCTTGCTCCGCATTGTTTGTAGGTGCATAACATTGTATGATTGTGACCTTTCTTCCTTTTGAGTTGAATCTTGTTGTCATGATCCTGGAGGAGATTGGTTCCCACTGCATGAGAGCCTTCGATGCTCTTGGAAACATCATGATAGCCACTCCCTCAGTGTGCTCGTGGTTGGCGTCTGGGTGACAAGGAGTAGATTATTGATTCTCCAGTTGACAGTTTGGAGAGTCCACTCCCATTCCATCTGCTTTCGCAAATTCCAAGCACTTCGATGTTATACCTTCTCATCTCCTTTGCAATCTGGGCTGCCTTACTGGGTTCAAACATGGTGCGGACATTCCATGTCCCCACGTTTACTTTCGCTTTCATCGAGAGAAGACACATCGGCCAATTGGCTTCCCGAAGGCTTTCACCAACTGGCGTCATTTCGCCTCTCCGATTCCAGCGGGGAATAAGTTTGTTTTCATTTTTTATATTTTGTTTGTGCTTTGAAGTTTCTTTAGCGGTTAGATTTGTTTTCCGGGGTAGGGTTGCTAGCCCTATGCCCAACCTTCCCTCTTTACCCGGGCTTAGGACCGGCTAGTAACTAGTAAACTAGTTAACCAGGCGAGGTTACTAGTAAAGTTAGACAACAGAAACTACTTCTCTGTTAATAATTTATCTCATATCACATCAACCTCAAGTGAGAATGATTCAGATGTATATTTCATCCTAACTTTCATCAGTTGTTCAGTTGTAGCCAAATTATGAATATCAAAAAAAGTTATTTTCTGTTTCATAATTGCCAACTTTATATCACTTAGACTGTCACTCTTTAAAAAGTTTTTTTTTTCCAATTTTTTTTTACCTTTTAGAAATATGTATGAAGAAAACAGAGGAAATGGAAATCTTGATGCATCAGAATGTAATAACCCCAACTCTTCAATAGCATCTGATCAACTAGTCAAACCAAATGAAGATGACCTTAAGAACATATCAGTACGTTTCTACTATGCCGTATCATTCATAACTGTAATTAGAACCTTCTTATTCTGACAGATGACAATGGTAGTGTGAGCATTTTAAACATTGACCGGGAAATTAGTGATAGTATAATGTATTAAGCATATTACTTATCTAATTAGCTAGACCTAAGGTGCATAAAAAGTGCATGAACTCAAGGTGTTATTGTCACAGTTTTTATAAAGCATACCTGTGAAACTTCCCATTGGCTGTACTGCGTTAATCAGAGCATTGATTGGTAGTGTCAATATTCTACGCAAGGATGCACAATGAAAAGAAGAACTGAGTACAACGTATAAAACACTGGACAAAGAAGTTAAGAAGAGTGAGCGCACAGAAAAAAGACACTTCTACGACGCATTGACAGGTTAAGCAGAACAGGCTGTAGGTAGGATAGACAGAGACCTGACAACACTATATCAAATAACCAGGTTTCTCTCCGGGAGGAGATCGACGCAAATGAAACCAATGAAAGATAGTGAAGGAAAGCTAGTTACTAAAGAGGAGAAACAAAGTCAACGATGGGCTGACCAATTCGAAAAACTGTTGAATCGACCGCCACCACCACCACTTGCAACCCTTCCAAAGATACCACCAGCAGCCCAGCCACATAAGTACAAGTGAAAACAAGCCCTCCGACAAAAGCAGAAGTCCTAAATGCCATAAAACTGCTGAAAGTACCAGGACCAGATGGAATTCCTCCAGAAGCACTGAAAACGGATGCAGAGACAACAGCGGACATGCTCATGCCACTATTGCAGAAGGTCTGGAAGAAGGGAAGGAAAGGTACCCGCGATTGGAAGAAGGGCTACCTTGTCAAACTCCCAAAGAAGTGTGACCTGTCTTTGCTCCACTTCATTCTACCCCAAGCGAAATGGTATGCCGCATCATCCTAGTGAGACTAAAGGATGTGCTGGATTCAAAATACGACCGGAACAGGCTGGCTGGCTTTAGGAAGAACAAGTCATGTGTGGATCAAATTGCAACGCTCCGCATCACTATAGAACAGAAAATAGAATGGCAGTCAATTCTCTACCTTACCTCAACTTCATCGATTTTTAAAAAGCCTTCGGCAGCGTTGACCGAGAAGTAATTTGGCAGGCAGCTTCTTCAACACTACGGTTATAGTGCCACCAAACTTTATCAACCTCATTCAACAGCTATATGCTATATGACGGCACCACAGGCCAAGTAATTCACAGTGGAAAGCCCAGTGATACCTTTGAAGGGAAGACAGAAAGGAGTAAGACAAGACTGCTGACGAGACAACTGACGAGGTGACAGAAGAGGCAGCGAAAACGAGGCTTCAAGTGAATATAGAGAAGTCAGAAGTGATGAGGATACCCAACCAACAACAGCATCAACAACAAGCACCAATCACCATCAACGGGAGAAGCCTAAAGGAAGTAGTCTCTTTCACCTACACATAACTAGGCAGCATTGTTCCAACTACAGGCGGCGGCGGCGGCACAGATAAGGGTGTTAAAGCCAGGATCAGAAAGACAGCAAGGCAAGCCTTTATTAATCTGAAACCAGTGTAGAGATCTACTGCACTCAACGCAAAGCGTGAACAACATCCTCATTTTCAAAACCAATGTCAAGTCAGTGCTTGTATGTGATGGTTCAGAGACTTGGAGCGTCACGAAAAGCACTTCCAACAAACTACACACATCCATAAACAGCTGCCACCTACACTCACTCGATACTGACACTGAAGATCAGATGGCCAGAATAATAAGAATAAGCAACAAAGAACTCTGGCTGGTTGGCCACGAACCAACCAAGAACCTATCACCCAACAAATATGCAGAGGAAGAAAGTGGAGATGGATTGTACTTATACTGAGAAGACCGTTTGGAGACATCATGCCTCAGGCTAGGTCAGGTCGTCGAGTGGAATGGAAATGGGAAATGACGGGTTGGGTGTGTGAGGCGAGGTTGACATGGAGGAGATTATGTGAGGAAGAAATGAGAGCTTGTGAGTGGAGGTGGAGCGAGGTTCAAAATACTGCAAAGGAGAGAGTGGAATGGAGACGTGCTACTGAAGCCCTATTTTTCACTAGGAACCCCGGTGAAAAATAATACGAATAATATAATTATAGTGTGCTACTCAAGTTATACTGTAGTACGTTACACTGCCGAATTTGAATATAAACAGCTGTTTGGCTCTGGTAAACTACTGTTCTCTTCACTGCTAAACCACATAGTTATTTGATTTTTAACAACTTCAAGTTGCAGGATCTAAAAAAAGCATGCACCTGTGAATTCATTTCGAGAGGTTTAACTGTTTGGAAGTTATTAACACAATAGTGTTAGAAGTGTTGGTGGTGACGGCAATAGTAGTAGTGGTGGCCGTATAGAAGCTTCTATTCAGCTAGTTTGAGTCCCAGAGTAACTGGGCTTCAATAAAAGTTTAGATATTGCTTTTTCATGCAGATATGTTCAGTTCCACTTCACAAACCCACTAATTGTAGGCTTATATTCAGCCTTTTGCAAAGGATCCTGACGAAGGTTTTCAAAGCCTATCGTGGTAACATACAATACCCAACTTCATTGTGAGTAGCATCTCTAACCAGATACATTTTATTCGAACTCCTGCGTATTCATCATACAAAATTAAAATATTTTATGATTAACCAAGCATAATTCAATAAAATAGTCTAGGTCAGAAAGAACGTTGTAAATCCTTGGTCAAATAGATAGTACTTCAGCACTTCAAGTATTCTTGGGATTATAGTGTCACTTGAGGTGCTTGTAATCTCTTAAAGATTACATTTGATTGATTGGCCTCTTAAGAGGTAAAACGAATAGCTGGTAGTCCACCTTTAGCCACGAACAAAGTAACGTCAGAATGCACACAATTAATATAGAATGAAAAGGTGAAGGTTAGTGATTGGCTGTTTTACTATAACCCTGATCATCGCACTTATTTGGAAAAGACGATATGGATAGGGTTTATTGATCTAATTTACTCAATAATTTTAGCAGTTTAGTGTACAGTTTTCTGTCAAATGTATATCTTACTGACATGACGGTGTTTGCTAGAATAAGAAACAGTAGGTGCAAACCATATGACTGTGTTGCTGAGCATTTACTCTCATGGTTGGGAAACGGACAGATGAAATCCATCAGAAGTTAGGGTTTATCTTATCTCTTTGATAGTGGTCATTTGGTAGATGATAACAATGCTTTCACGATTATTCGCCGCATACCACCCCATCTTTCGGAGGGTTTTCTAACATGTCTTTTGCACATAGCAGAAGCTGCCGGAATTCTAGCCAATAATCCTAGCCTTTGTATCCACAAGAAAAACCATATAAATATCATCAAGAACTTATTGGACTCTACAAACATTCCTACTATTTTAGTACTAGGGAGATAGAACTTCGAGATCGAAAACGTTGTTGCTAACTTAGTGTTCAGAAAATTGTTTGAAATTATGTTTGCTTGGTGTTTTCCAAGCTGAGATTTTTTCCTGAACAGTTTATCACCAGATTAGACGACTTCATCAACGCTTACTCAGTATAGAAGTGAAGCACTATTTGAAATGTTTTACTATGCACTCCGTACAGTGGTAAACACTTCCAGCTGGAAATTATAAATATTTTTTAAACTGATTATCGTATCTATTTGAATAGGGTTTGCATGCTATGATACGGATCCGTATTCATCTTCTTCTCCTCGTCATTATCATTACACACGTTACTTCACAAGGAAGTGATGTAGCTTTGTTGTTCATACACAAGCAAATAAAGCTGAATTGGACTTAGTATCATAAGCTGAATAAAGAAGGTTTAATCCCCATGATCAACTCTTCCCAGGGTAAAACTATCAAAACAAAGATAATTTCGAAAATCACCTAATAATTAGCCGGTCAAACAGAGCTCCTGTACTATTTTATAAAGCGCCAGACAGATAACTTCTATGTTGCTTAGTTGATTTCAATAACAAATACCATCCAGTCCCAAAGAAGCAATCTCCTGGGGCCTTTGACCAATCTGAACCTACTTCGGCCAACACTATGTGACGAGGTAATCAGCGACTAGGCATACGCAATACGTGTCCCAACCATCTCAGTCGATCAAGGTTCATAACCATGTCAACTGATTTACCTCTCCTCCCTAAAACTCTACACCTGACTTCTGCGTTACTCACATAGTGACACCACGGAATACAGGTGGTCGACACTTCCTGGCTTCGCACACCGTGGAAAGCAATTTCTTCTTAAGGTACCTGAAAGAGATTTGTGTGACCGCAGAGCCCGTCGGACATGTGCTTGAGTCCTGTCACATATAGCCTTTTGTGTATGATCATTTGAAACTTACCTACCTGGAAAGTGGTATCAACCCTGGTGGCTGGCTCAGTGGCCGATGAAATCTCTCCACAAACACAAAATGGCTCGGTTAGTTTTTTGCCAAATTACGCCACCTATGGCACCGACGAGATATCCAATTGTCTATTAATGGTCGCGTGTACTGCACCTGCTGAGCAGTCCACTCTGTTTTACTGTATGACTGTGAAACATGGCGATTGAAGGTGGAAGGCATGAAAAGGCTTCAAGTGTTTGATCAGTGTTGCCTTTGTAGTATATGCTGTATTCCGTGGTGTCACCATGTGAGTAACGCAGAAGTCAGGTGTAGAGTTTTAGGGAGGAGAGGTAAATCAGTTGACGTGGTTATGAACCTTGATCGACTGAGATGGTTGGGACACGTATTGCGTATGCCTAGTCGCTGATTACCTCGTCACATAGTGTCGGCCGAAGTAGGTTCAGACCAGTCAAAGGCGCCATCTTAACAATGCTATACAGAATCTCACCATTTTCTCATTCTACCTTTCTCTCTTTTAGTACTTTACATTTCTTTTGTGTTGATTTTCTTTTCTTCATTTTCCACCGCACTGCCTTTTTTCTCGTTGTTCTGATATGCGCTGTTGCAACTTGGACCGTTACGCAGTAATGCCTGGTCCTATGTTAATTTGAATGGATGGAAACTTGGTGCAATCACTGCGAGGTCAAATGCATAAGTCAAATTTGTTGATCAATGTCAATCGATATAACACAAAACGAAACGTTACCTGAATCATTATTAGTAAAGCCTAATAAGACAACAAATTTAGGAAACGCTCGTCTGTATTTTTGTTCGTATATACACAGTCACACTGTAGGTTGGAATAGAGCGGCAGAATTGAGAATTATCTTAGCTGGGTGGAGTTATAGATTGATAAATGCATATTTAGCCTGGGTGATAATTGAAGGTGGAATGCGAATTTGAAGAGCGGCCAGATTCGACCCAGTGATCACTGGGTTACCGGTCCGATGCTGTACCATCTTCACTACGAGGTCTGACTGCTGACCAGATTTTTATATCATTTCAATCACCAAGTTTTTGTCTGACTAGCATGTGAACTCGCGATGCGTTAGTATCGCTTGATCGTACTCATGTTGGTTGCTTAGTCAGGACTTCTCATCCCAATCCAAATGAGTTGGAGAGGGGGAGCATCATATTGATTATCATGTGACTATTTTAGATAGTCGTAGTTTGGCCTGACTATTATTGATGATGTGTGGTGATTGAAGATGAAATAGAAATTTGAACTTCAGGCGAATTCGAACCAGCGAGTACCGGGCTGGCACTGTATCAACTTATCCACGAGTTCCGACTGCTGACTGGATTTTTATTTGATCTTCAATCATCACTCAGTACTAATACTGGTTTGCCAAGCCAAGGTTATATCAGATAGGCAGAATTGTAGCTGAATACTTGTTAATCGAATCAATGCCAAACAAGTGGAATAGAAATGATTCTCCACCTATCCCATGTATGTGGAAATTCTACTATCTTTGTATTGCCACGAAGAAGGAGTGAATGTTAGGACTACATAATCTCTGTCTCAAAGTATTGGAGTTACCTGATATGACCATGGACAATAAATTGTCTGAAATGTTATTTAGTCAGTAATACTGTCCCACTGTGTGACATTTCCAACAAACAGAATAAAATGTCTGCGGTCCGAATTTTCATCTCACCCATCATCACCCAGAATATAATGGAATAATAAGTAAGAATATTGAAATATCAATGGCTTCCTCCACAGTTCACTGTTTCGCCATGAATCTACGGCGAGAATAGTTACCAGTTTCATGCAAAGTATGAATTCACGTTGAGTGACATCCATTGTTTTCTTTTCAGATGGCGTCAGACAGTATCAAGCAACTATTCATCAAGGTAAAACAAAAACTATTTGAAAGAATTATTTATTCGTATACTGGATTATTTTCAGTTTTACACAATCATTGATTACAATACCCTCCCGTTTAGATACTAAAAGTATATCATTATAAGGCAGCTGTAGTTTAACGGTCCTGAATGTTGAGCGACATACCACCTTAGAATGTGAAAGTGCTTACTTACCGTTTAGTCTTCAGAACCGAACATTAGTTTCATTGATGGTGCTTACACTTCTTTCAGGTTAGTTTTTAAGGTCATGATAATCACTGCGAGGAAAAGCTGTTGACCATAACTTCCAGTGATCTGTTCTGTGAAGAAGTGGCTTCCGCCAGGTTGCGAAAATTCACTGGGATTTCAGAAATATACTACCTTTATAATAAGATGTAAAGTCTGAATGCTACTTCAGCCTCTTAGACCTCTAAGCAGGTATTACAATCAACTCATTTCTTCTAAGTTTGTCGCATTGTCTGGTACACAAACTCATACTTGATAAATAGATTGCGTCCACTCCATCTACTGAAGAATAATTCATTATAATGTCAAACTAGATATGTACCTTGGTTATAAGTTGTTGTGTGAGTTGAAGTGATTTCATACTGAGAAAGCGTTCATGTCGTTTATCAAAACTTCAGAATAAAGTTGAATTCTTTTGCTCGTGATTGATTATTTGGCCTGTTTTTTTTAATTTCTTCTTCATCTAGACGCTGAAGTCAAAACCCCTGGGTAAAAACAATAAAACACTCACCAAGTACTTTGATAAAGTGCGAGACACCATAACTAACATCAGTAAGTTTATATAATTTCATTATCCTATTAGTATTGTGAGTCCGTTTCTGTGTACATGTGTTTATATAGTGTTCACATGTTTGTTTTATGTAGTAGCTCACAGCAATATCCTAAAAGCCTTGTTTATGGAAGACACATTTCAGGAATATTATGCCATTTCAAAATTTTACACTTTTAACACCCTACTAATCATATTTAGCAAATGTTCAAACACTTAGAGGTACCTTAAAGAGACTGAAATCGAGTAAAAGCATAATTAGCAAGTAGCCGTGTGCAACTAGGTGGCTTTGTGAAGTTACGCTGATGATAGTATCTATCACGACAATGAAACGGCGAATCAGGTTTTTGGTATAAACGCTCACAAAAACTGACTGAAATTCAATTGAATAGCCTACGCTGTTGAACACTATCTCTGGTTAAAGTGTTCAGTGTATCGTCGACTGTAAAAGTAGGCTGGTTTAAGAGACAGGACATGTTTAGAAGGACTACGCAGACGGAGAGATGCTTTTATTTCCTCAGTTTCGCATAATACCAACTTTTGTATATGGAATTTAGTCAAATTCCCTAGCCACAAAGTTCAGCACGGACATTTTGGGAAGGCGCATACATTGAAAATGAAAGTTATTGAAGAGTGTTATGATGAATGATAGTAACTCATCTCTTTACAATGCTTGTTCTTGCAACTGAAGACAACGAAGAGCGATGTAAACGTCTTTATCTCTATAGTACTGTAACCTCATGTTCTCGACCACTGCCCACTTTTGTAGACATTCAAATCATTTTCAGAATATCCTTTGAAGAAAACTTAATTCTACTTGGTTTATGCACAGTAAAACACCTTTTAATCATAAGGTGCTCTTAGCCTATATAATACTGGTTGATCAAGTTAGATGTTGGAACTCAGTCAGCAGGAATCCGTTGGCCTAGGTTCCGTGCCTAATATCATTACTGAGTAATGCAGGTCCAAATCACCGGAAGAACACTAGTTTTAGCATGGTTCCAGATACACCTTACTGATAAGTACAGATAAGCAGAAAACCTGAATCCAGGCATTTAAGCCGACTGAGTCTTAGTTCCCACAGAGTCGTGTCACTTAGCCCAGTGACTACACTGGAAGCTTGATTGATCGACTTTGATCAGTGCTAAGCACTAGAGACTAGACCACAACAAATATTACTCACTGATAACCAATTCTTGCAGTATTTATGAACTTATAACTGTAGAGTACATGTTAGATAAGGTGAGCTATGATAACAAGGAGAGTATTTAATGCACTACTTTATGATTCGTAGAATATGATTACCATTAACCAGGAAAAATGTGATAAACCAGTTTGCATAGATGTGCTTTTACAAGGTCATTCAGGGAAGAAACTATACTTCCAGTCTACCAAGCCACAACTCAATCATAGAGTGCGAACAAAAATAAAATGAATCTTTTCGTGAATTTAGGTTTCGATATAAATTTGAAATTGATTCTCCTTTTTATGAGCTATCTCAGCTCATACAAAATACATGTGAGACAGTATACATTGTCAAAATGACCTCACTAGCCATTCATTTTCACAGATGTATTTGATTTGAGGAGTTGGCATGCATTACTAGTCGAAACCAAATCAGATGAAAAGCTAGAAATGAAACTTGAATCTCAAATATTTCAGCACCGTTGATTAATCCCAGCCCCGCTGTTGGAATATGTACTACCTAGAAGTCGTAAATTTCACTTTCTTAGTAATGCACATATCGATAAAACGCTCTCCTGAAACTGATACAGAACGCGGTGAAGTCGGTAAGTCGGTAAGAGTTCTAACAATTACTCAACTCACATCACTTTGAAGACAAATGGAAGTTGAATACGTCACTAATAAGTTACTCCGTACTCTAAGAAATTTTACATGAATTTGAAGCAGATATACGAAATCTTTTGTAGCGCAAAATAATAACCACAGTGTAGTTTGAAGTCATTGTAATTTCAACACCATAATCTAACTTTTATCATGAATAGAACTGTAGCTGATATTGTTTGATCCAATACATAGTTATTGCGGGCTGAAAACCATTATACATAGACCACACTGACAGTGAGAAGTGTGATAAGATCCTTACTCATTCTGTCTATTGGTTAAAGATTTTCACAGTTTCAACTAATTTGATCACTCTCTTAGCTTACATGCATCAGGTCACAAATTCGGACTCCATTTTGCCTACCGAGACTTAGGAAGTCAGGCAGTATCTGCTGACCGTCACACATTAGAATTGGATCGTTGAGTAGTGCGGAAGTCTTTCAGCAGTTTACGTGTTGCAAACAATGTCGTCTGAAAAGCAAAAAGTCTTACTTCAATGAAACTTTCTTAAGATTTTTTTAATAATACGAATGTATGAGAAGTAAACTTTCTTCAAGTTCCCCTATCATGTATCAATCAAGCTATAGAATGTGTCCAGCTGGGTGATAAGTGTATGATACAAGTTAAGGCAACTAGTTGTTAATAAAGTACTTGTCCTCAGTAAATCTATCCTCAAGCTAGGTTGTTAAAACAAATTTTCATTCAGAAATTTTATGTTTTCACTATTTATTGGTGATTATTCAGTTCACTTCAAGAAAAGACAGCCGTTTTCAATAAGGATACCACTGACAACGGGTATTTGAACAAGCGCAATAACGCGTGAGAATGAATAAATAACTGATTGAGTCAGTTGTTGTCTGATCACTAAAAAGTTAATCTTTTCACACTGACTTAACCCAACTGAAGCTAATAGACATGAAGTCTAAGTGCAAGGCAGCTTTACCGTCACTTAAAACACTGGAGACCGAATGCAGTGTACTACACTAATGCATATAACTCAGGACTATATATAGTTCGTTTCGTAATGGACCTGAATCATCTGTTGAGAATGGTGTCTCCGCGAGTTAATTTACAACTGCTCAATGTATATAATATTTAACTCCCATCTTGACCGTTTTTGGAGCGTGCAAAAAACAGCCATTAGTTAGCAGCCATTACAACGTCTAAGTGTAGTAATCGAACGTAGTCAGTCATCAATGACAGAATTATGATTACCGTGCTTAGTGAGATGATACTGAAATGCACTGGTATGAGATACAGGAAGTTTGCCTTAAGTGAACTATGTACAGAATGAATTGGTGGCCTCAGTCTACGAAATCATTAATGGAATACCTTGATGCCAGTCCTTTTTATAACTGTACTCAGATGAATTTCAGGATGTAAAATGACTAATTAGATTGTTAATTAACCGACTGATATCCTTCTTACAATTCAAAATCTTTCCATAGCTGAAAGTAAAAAAACGGTGAGTGAGATGAATTCAGTATTGAATGTGAATGGAAATGAAAGCCGACCAATCAAACATGAAGGGGAAGTAGATGATGATGTTCACAATGAAACCAAAGAGAAGATTATCGATTTTATCATTACTGATGATGTTACTAACGATAGTAATGAGGACAAAAATGATTATTATAGTCAGAAGAATGTCAATGAAACAGATAATGAAGCGACTAGTGATGCTCAAGACTATGAGAACAGCAACACTAAAATGAGTTCACAAATAACCCTACTTAGAAATTTATCTAGCAGTTTCTCCCAATTGAATATATCATCTCCATTATCGTCATATGCAGATGAATTGACTTCTGAACACATAACTACTTCAACAGATGACCTTCTCAGCCTAGATCATTATGATGGGTATGACAATCAAACAAAGGTTCTCAATCCGCTAGCCTCTTCTTGTTTAAATATAGCTTCACAAAGTCAAATCAACAATTCAAACTTGGAGAGATGGTTATCTCAATCCGAGTTACTCAGACCCGGATCAAAACTAAGAGTGAGTTCATGGATAACTTTTCTCAAGAATGCATAGTAAGTTTCATTTACTTGAGACTTGATCGATTTCAGGATTTTGTTCACTGGTATTTGGGTTATAATGCGTTACTTAACTGAAAGTAATAAAAAATGGACGACTGGATTTCAGCCGATTGGCTGAAAGACAATTTTCTGACTAGAGGATCTGATAATTCTGGGTTGAATCATTTACGTGGTCATGGCTGAACACTGCTAAGACATCAAATACCAGGATGATGTGGCTGTTCAATATCCACTGGTTGTGAATACTTTTGCAAATGATATCAGTTCCTGGTGACTACTACCTTGCAACTGACGAAGCTCTGAAAACCATTTTTAATTGTGGATCGGCCAAGGTTGTATGGAATCACTCCCCTCGTCTATGTTTTTGTTTATTGCTCATGTCTAAATAAGATGAGGCAAACATACTTTCCAAATTACGCAATGCACCATGGATGTTTTATTTCTCTGATTTAAAATAAATGTTTTTAAGGTGATTGATGAACTGTTTATCCTCTTTTTCCTTGAGCTAGACGTGAGCGCGGATATTTTTAGAATGCTGATAAACTTACAGTTCAGTGCCCATTTGTGATCTCCTTGCAAATTGACTTCATTCATTTCTAGTTAGATTTAATGGTCTTTGGAGTTGCAGAAGTCAGGTGTGAGGGTTTATGCTTATCAAAGAGATTCGAAGATGGTAACGCTGTATGACATATTCAAATGAAGTCGAAAATATAGACTACTGAAGTTCAGCTGTTGGCTGAATGGTACCATAATGCAACAAGTGCTGACAGTCCAGACCTCAGTCTATCCTGAGGCCAGACATGCGAAGTATCTAGAGCCTGTTGGCCAATCTGAAACAACTGTTAAGTCCTTCCAAGTCTTCACCTGTAATGATTATTTTTACATAACAATAAGAATAGATAAACGTGATGCTAAGTATTCTACTACTTTGTTTTACTAGAATTTATCGTAATGTGTTCATAGTGTTTCCTGTTTATACATGGAAAACGCAGATCATCTAGTAGTTTTTATTGTTTGGTTTGAAAAACCATATTCCAAAGCTTTTCAAGAACATATTTCAATGCTGAAAATGTTTTTACTTGACTGTGTGCCAAGTCTATACAACAAGAGGACTCAGTCACTCCCCAAACAAAGAAATATCTCAACCTAGAGAAAGTGCTGAAGGATGAAATGAAGAGATATTATGATGTAAAATATCTTAACATAAAAGGGAGAGGTTATCACACTAGATACGACCTTGGACATGGTATCATCTGTTGTTCGTCTTTGTAGGAGATAAAATGAAAGCTTCAGCAGGACTGATATAAGTCTTACTTCATAATTTTTATATCAATTCAAATAAACATCTCATCACTTCTGTAAACATAACCTCAATACCATTCTTTCCATCCTACTTCAAAGTTTTAATCACTTCATGATAACAAAGCCTGTCGAATGGCAAACATCCCATAAACCAAATTAGCCAACTCAGATGTTTTGCAATACATAAATTTGCATATATATATATATATATATATATATATATATATATATATATATGAATGCGCTGCAGTAAAGTAGCTGTTAAAGCAATTTCCACTTCTTAGCCCCTTATCTACAGCCTTTAATAACCACTGACAAGTTTACTATTAACTCACTGGACAATGTTTTTTCACTCCGTTTTCTTGTAGCCTCAATTTCCTCGTGATGGATATTTTTGGTCGGTTGCATTGTTCATCAAATTGGGTCGTAGACTAATTCCCTTGAATTCAAAAGGTAAAACAAATTAAAAAAATAACGAAAAAGAGAGTGCAATCTGCATTTCAACGGAGTATATTGTAACTTATCTTTTATAATAGTTTGTAAGGTAGTACATAAGAAAATATGCAGTTTTCCTACTCATGTATTTCTTTGCAAAAAAGTTGACTTTTCGTTTTCTATTTAATGCACAGTCAGCGGTCCGATGTTACACATGACTTCTTCTGGGTATCTTGATTGTACACTCCTTGAAGACATTCCAGGTAGTGCTGGCTTTTTTTAGTCTACTTCAGTTTCTCACTCTAATAATTGAGTTTTTTCATTCACTTGACACTCCTCTGTAAAGGTCAGGTCGACGTGAAGGCACATCCCACTACAAATTGACAACAACTAGTCAACTGTTGAAATCACAGAGTACTGTGTAGCCTTTGCAATCAGTTTCTTGTAGAGCATGAGGTTTTTTAATACTCTAATTTACATTTCACGCTAGTTCAACGGGGAATATCATTACATTCAAATCTGGCACCATGAAAGATACTGCTGATAACTTGAAGTATATAATGATAGCACTATACCATGAGCCGAATGGAACTGCGAAATCTGTACTTCAGCAAAAGATTTCCTGTACACGTGATATATGTTCTTCATATTTATGTGTTTCGTCTTTTAGAGTGAACAAGATCACATACCGTTCTTACATTTAATTAGATGCATTCAGTTCAACAACAGTCAAAACAAAAAACACTCGAATTTTGCATAATTAAGCTTTTTCTCTCAGTGATGTACTGTATTCCGATATTTTCTATGTGAACATCTGTGGAAATTTGCATAAAAGACGTCTGATCGAATGTTGAATTGATCGATGTAAACCGTTGTTCACTGATCAACTATACATTCTCGTAAAAGTTGCAATAAGAATCTTTTTGTCAATAGTGACTAAATGAATTCGCCATGGTAGTTGAACATTCATGAAGATATCAGAGTAGAACTTGTGGATTTTGATGAAGTCAAATATTGTATACGTTTGCTACAGTCTCATCTGGTAAGCACTGACGAATGATTTAATACCCATTCAGTCAATATAAATAAACACTTGGCTCACTATTACTGGAGAACATTCTAGATAGTTGTGAACTACGAGCTACGCTGGAGCAAAGGCGATAGTCAGAAAAACAGAGAAAATCTAATCAAATGTACCATAAGAAAAGGAAGCTAAATCAAATAACTAAATGTAGCATAATGACTGAGATGAAGGTAAGGCATGAATCTGTCTCTGCTGTTCGGAGCGACGGTAATACATTTCACTGTGATTTTTCGTCAAGATGTCTACACTTACTTAAATGTTTCGGAATGACATTTAGAAATTTCACGAATACATGCCGTCTTGATATTGGTCACCTATCATGAAACCTTGAAAGGTCCTGTTTCAGCGGAAAAAAAGAGTACTTTAGATCTGCACTAAGAAAATGAACTAAACCTGAGTAATTAGTTATCTTAGTAATGATTGTGTGAAGTGGGTTGTGATTGAGATATCATTTAGTAAATTGAAACATACAAGTGTGATACAATCACAATAATCGGGCCTTAAATAATAACTACGATTAATGATAAATTGGTTGGTTGTAGCTAGTAGAAGAATCCAGGACGCACGTTCCGTCCTACTTGGGACTCATCAGCTGGAGGTACCTGCCTCCCAGTGAGTGATGTTGTCCCCACTCGGACTCGACCTCGTACCCATCGCTTCAGACGCCAAGGCGTTACCCACTATGCCACGGCGTAACGATAGCCACTTCTTATACAACGGGTAGTGGTTATTACTATTATTAGGTTATCTTGCTTTCGTAACCAATGGAATTTCGTTGACTTTCGTTTGTGTGTGATTTGCGTTAAGACCATGTCATATTTCATGGTAAATCATTAAAGGAAGACTATAGAAGTCATGTTCGTACCAAGTTGATTTCCTTTGCTTTTTTGCTTACAAAGCACCTCAGTAAAGCCAGTTTCTCTTGCACTTGAGTGAGGATGAGCTTTTGATGATGATTGGCTCTAATGGAATTTGCGGTGGTGAAAGATTTTTCCTGTCATTAACTATATAACAAATGTGATTTTTGCAGTTTTGGCTAAATTATATGAAGTTCGTTTTTATGAGACTTATTTACATAATTATTGATATTGTTAGTATTGAAATAATAATCAGTAAGATTTTTGTGTATTTGTTGTAGGTAGAAGTGATCCTTATGTGAAAATCAAACATATGGGAAATGTTCTAGCCAGAAGTCGAATGGTTTCTAACAATAGTAATCCTGTATGGGATGAGAAATTTTGGTTCCGTTTGTGTAGCTTAGAAGTACCTGTAGAGGTAAGCCTGTAGTGTTTATCTAACGAGTTATGTGACCTCGATTTCAGCAGAGAAAATCAAATTTAATTATGTTATGTTCTATCAGCTGGATAGTTTAATCATGAAGCTATCATTGTCACACTAGAAAACACTATCAACAAAAAAAATTCAGAAAAGAGAAGTGACACTCAGTGTGAATGGTTGTTTCTACTGAAATCTTTGCATTATCTCCATATTTATTGCGATGGGCTATCCTGCTGCTTTGAACTTCGACCTTTTTGGTGTTTTCTGTGTTTCTTATTGACTGGTAGACTGAGTTGATGTTGGTATGACTGTTGATCACTGACATATTTGAGTGATATACTTCTAAAAATTCTCTAACATATGAACACTGACCCAATCTATACGGAACACTAGAAATACCAAGTAGATCAAATTTCAGTTGAAATATGTATAGAGATATGGAAAAGATTTTAGGTGAAACAACCGATAACACTGACAGTCATCAGGACAAGTTACAAAGCCACGTGTAGAAAAAAATCTCATAACTCACTTGTTTCTGAATTTTTTAGTTTAATGATTCTGTCTATAATGACAATGGAAGCTTCATGATTAAACCATTTATGCGAGAGAAAGCAACACCATGTATATAATCCTCCTCAGCCAAAAATATTTTCCATCTTGAATTAGATTATAATTTCCGGTTAATGAGAATATGATCCATAGTAATAAATGATTACAGTATGAAGTTGATGCAAGTTAAGATACGTTATGAAAGGTATATGTCATACTGTTGTGTAACTTTCAAGATTATTCGAGAAACACACTTACCGGAAAACTTTCAATTTCAGTTCAAATGGGTATTTTTCAACTACATCTGTGAAATAGACAAAATTTCTTTTTGTCGAGAATCTTTTTAGATTATACAGAGTTAAATGTTTTAAATTAAAGCTGCAGGTTGTATTGAACTTCGTTAGACAATCACTTTAATACGAAGCAATCTTAACACTGCCATTCAACCATGGTATTTAATTTTTCCACAAATCCTTTAGACCTAATTTGAATTCGATTCAGTATTATTCTATAATTTTTGGTTATTAGATAATTTCTGATTGATTGTTTTCACTGGATAAATTTCCATGGAACTATGACCAAAATCAGGATTGTATTCTGGAAAATCAATTCCCTGTAAGATATTCTGATGCCGGAAAAAAAGTTGATTTGAATACTTTAATTTCCAGAGGAAGTCTTAGTGAAATTTCTTATCACAGACTATGTATTAAGCAAACACTGGGTTGATTCTAGGTAATAACCAGTCCACTAAAGTGGCTAGATAGAAATTACCTGATCTGAACAATTCGTTTTTGTGAGATTAGTCAGTCCAGTTATAGAACTAATGAGCTTGGCTTCGAACGAGTGAAACGGCCTCATGGTGTTAAGATTGCTTAGATCGAGTTAGACAGTACCGTTAAGTCATGTGAATGGCTTACAGCTGTTCAAACTCGTCAGTAGTATATTCCATACAGCTTTCATCCTTGCAGTCGTGACATCAACTGTGGTGTAGAGCAGATCACAGTATTTGGTCTGAATATTTTGATTTCTTTAGAAAACCATGATGAGATTTCGCACCACGGACTGTGTATTCTACAAAAACACCTGATTTGTTTCTAGTGATTATGCGAACAGAATGCAATAAACCTATCAGCTAGATGGTACTCGATATTACTTGCATACTGTAATGGCTGTCATCCTCAATAGTTACGCAATAAGTGCATTCGTGTAATAAATGCAGTAAATGGAGACAAAGACGGAAAACCAATCGGATAGTCAGTCATAACGGATATTAGCAGGCAACTTTTGAAGCTACCACAAATCATGTCAGAATATCAGTGTACAAGCGTGGGGAATAGAAAAACGGAAATCCAAGTAGTCTATCCAGAAATCATAAAATGACATGGAATCCTAAGAAAGTAATTAAAGTCAGTAGCAAAATGATGACACAGGACATATAAGTACCTCCACAACTTCGAGTCATTTAACCCAGAGTAACTTACTGTAAACAGGAGTAAGACAAGGTTGTCTACTATCACCCATGATCTTCCCGATTGTGATCCACTGGGCTGGATCATGCAACAAAATGTGAGGAGCGAGAAGAGAGGCATTCGCTGTTTGACAGTTGAAAAGAACCTGGAAGATTTGGATATCGTCGATGATGATTTATGTCTAATGTTGCATAAACTTAAAGATCTACAGCCGAAAACCGATGAGAGGCAGTGAAGACGGGATGGGAACGTGGAGAAGACAGGGTGAAGATACCCAACCAACAACAACAAGCAGCAATCATCATCAAAGGGAGGAATCCAAAGAAAGTTGTGTCTTTCACCTACCCACCTAGACAACATCCTCTCAACTACAGGCGACACAGTACAGACGAGGATGTCAAAACCAGAATCGGAAACACAGCAACACACGCCTTCATCAACCTGAAATCAATCATCCTGGAGATCCACTACAATGCACTACACTCAACATAATGTGTCAACAACATCCACATTCCCAACACCAATGTCAGTCAAGTCAATGCTTCGATGTGGTGGTTGACAGACTTCGTGCATCACGAAAGCATTTCCAACAAACTACAGACAGACATACATCACGTCAACTCAACAGCTGCCACCTACGCTCACTCGACACTGAAGTTGGAGATCAGATGGATGACCAGAATAATAAGAATGAGCAAGAAGGAAGTCACTGTGGCTGGCAACGAACCAACCAACAACCCATCACTCAACAACTATGCATCATAAGAAAGTGGATATGGATTGGGTATACTGTGAGAAGAGGGTTTTGAGACATCATGTATCAGGCCAAATGAGGCCAGTCCGGGCTCTCGAGTGGAATGCAAATGGGAGACAACGATTTGTGCGTTTGATGGTGAAATGAAGGAGATTGTGTGAGTAAGAAATGGAAGTTTGTGGTGAGTGGTGGAATCATGTTGAGACGAGTTTTGAGAAGTGAGTGTAATGGTGAGGTGCTACTCAAGATTTATGTTTCACTAGGAATCCAAGGGACAAATAATAATCATGAATAAACTGCAGATTCCGGAGTCATACGAACTCCAACAGGGAAGTCTACTTTTTTTCTTACCCGGCAAAGGGTAGTAGTTTGGTCATTCTTATTTCTTTTTCCATGGAATGCTAATTAACCTAGAAAAGTGTATTAAGATGTACAATGACTTTGTTTATGCATCAAACACCCAAGCCTTTTAAACTGAAGAACCCTTATTGAAAGGAAATAAAATAAATAGATTCATTTACTTACGGAATTCATACTCATGGACAAATGCTACAAGTGAAGTTAAAATAAAACCTGGAACTCAATTTAAACGGGGAACTTTTGGATTTGTTGCATGATAATTTTTTTTTACTTTAATCCAAGTTGATAGTTCTTATTCAGGGAATATGAATGAATCATTTCAAGAGTTGAAATAGGCAACTACTCTACAGTGATAAGTTGGTTATTCAACGACTCAAAAAGATAAAGTTTTGTGAGTAGATTATTTTCTCATATGTTTATTTAATGAGGTAATGCTCCTTTTTACTGTTAGAGAAACCATATTCTCATCAGCAAATTGTAAAAGGATAACAATATGAATTAAATTTGTTGATCAGTAGATACTGATAAGGTTACCAACTTCTGATATAAAAAGTCCACGATAAAATGACATATCTCAGAGAATAATAGACCATTGATATTATCAACCTGAGCTATAAATGTACTGCATCATTTCAGAATTCATTAACTCCTGTTTTATGACATATCAACATTTTTTACATGAAATCCTATTCCCTCATTCCGTTTACAAAAGAAATATAAATCCATTTTAATTGTTGAACAAATTTTTCCTTTGATGAAAAGAAGTTTTTCAGACTAATTCAAGCCACAATATTATTCTTGTAATCTTGAAAATAACAAAATACTTGATATATAAATACACTTATGCATTGTTTTCCCTTTTTTTTTTGCTTAAGTTAAAAGTTTATCATCGAGATGCATTCAAAAAAGATTCATACATTGGTCGAACACTAGTTAACCTTATGGAACTTGAATTGGACAAGTATGTTTTTCATTATTGTGTTAATTGATGAGTAATTTGGAAAGTAGACGTTTATTCAATAATTGTCAAGTGAGTAGTGCGGTTTCACAGTGTTCAGTGAATATTTTGACAGTTTGATGTTCTTCAGTTATGTGATACATCTTCAGTGTGATTTTGAAAAAAAAATAATGATGATCAGATACTTGTGATATGCATTAAATACATTCACTTGGATTGCACTATACAATTCGAGACGAATGGGTTTAATCTACTTATGAATTTTGAGGTTAATGGGATTTTATTTATTTCAAGGTTAAATTCATCATAGATTGAAATCAGTTGGGGAAATCTGGGAACACTGAACAACTGTTTCGTCTTATTGAGAGACTTCCCAAAAGTATGGACCTAAGAACCCTTGGGTTTCATAGTGAACGCGTTAACCATTCAGTCACTGGTTCGGAGTTCCCAGTTTTCTACTTCTGTCATTTCGCAACATAAAGTGACTCTCTACACAGACCTTCAGTTGGTATCCATTTCACTTTGGAGTGATTGACTACACAGATTACCAGTTTTCTTTGAGACTTCTAGATATCTTAGTCAGAGCATGCTGCTGAGGAGTCTCGTACTGGGACGAAACAGCTGTTCAGTGCTTCCAGATTTTCAGTGGTTCACTAAATGATGTCAGTCGGCAATAAATACTACATTATTCTACTTATAATTTTCTTTTCAAGTGGAATTCTGACAAACACTGGTTGTCATTTTTGGAAGTTGACTGAATGTCTGTCATAATCTTAAACATTACTGGTTGTCACAAGCTATTTTCAACCACTAGAAATGTTCAAGGTAGAATTTCAGTGCATATTCTTCGACTTTATTGTAATACGTTCAGTAAGTTACTATCTAAGAAGATATTTACTAGTTTTTTTTGATTTCTGGAGACTGATAAACCCCTAATATAGAATCCTGTGTGCGAAATTTAAAAGTAAAGAATACAAGGTGAATTTGACCTCTTGACAGTCATCAGTTCCTTATAACTATAGTCCATATCACTGAAGGAAACTGGAAATAGTGCACATTACCTCATATAGAAGAAGATTAATAAATAATGAATTGGTATACAGCAAAGAATATCACATCCTGGAGCTTTTTTGACTCCTCCTTCAACCATTCATTAAAGAGTCGATGCTAGATATCTGAATTAAATCAGAGGTAAGCCCAGACAAACTGATCAACAAAATCTATATTTCTAACTGTTAGAGATTCAGGGTAACATGAATTTGCTTGATATATGCGTCTCACAGATCAGAAAGAATTAGCTCCGTGATAGTTCGAAACAAAAGTGAAAGCTATGAAGGTAATCTAATAGGGAATCATACAAAACCGTAAATTAGATAGAGAAATATGGTGTAGCTGCCAGAATAAAGGTAGGGTATCATTACATTCTTATCACTGTGGACTATTCTATCGTCTATACCACCTAGAGTCTTCAACCATTGATGCTTGTTATCACACGAGCCCTGAAGTGAGAAACTGATATCTAACTGTTTGACTTTATGGACTGATGAGAATTTTTAGTCTTACCACAATTTGCTTTCTCCTTACTGAAGCCTGCTTCAGTTAACATAAAGCATCAGGGTGAATGGTAATTAGAAATACAGGAAATGTGTTCAGATAAACTCCAGCTATCTGTTCGTAAAACTTCACCAACTCCATGGTTGACACAAGAGGACTTTCTTATGTTTCAAAAGACCAGGAAAATAGATGACTGAGAACAGTCTGAAACGATTATTTCTAGCTTTCATAACTTGATCAATTTCATTTGTACCACCATCTCTAAATATCTGTTAAGACTATTTATCAAGACCTACTGCTTTCGTGTCAGTTAGCACAAGGTATGCACCAAGTAATTCCTCACATACTGAGTTTTCTGTCTTTATTCTCCAGCTATTGCATTTACAAACGACTTGTATTGTATCCCCTTATTGAAATCATCCATTTCACCACAAAAGGAACATAAAAACATTTCAATACAATATAGATAAGTATGTTTTTTAGGGAAATATGACTGTTGCATAAGGTGATATAAGGGTGGAAATATGTCAAAGTAACATTTGAATAAAAATGTTTCACTATTGCTTAAACCTAATTGTCAATGAATTTGAAGTGTAAATATTTACCTTATTGTATTATATTTCACTTGTTTACTGTGTCTATTACTATGATTTACACGGTATTTACTCATGAAGGTATAAACAACCAGCTGCGATCTCAATGTATATGATCAATACCAAACAACTGGTTATGATAGTGATTACTTTCAACTGAACAATAATACCCGACTATCGATCATATCTTAACTTCACTTCAGTCACTGAGGGTTTTTTCGGACTGGTATATGAAGTAGTGATTTATTACTGTCCTTCCATCGTATTCATACTAGTTGACAAGTCAGGACTTCTCATCCCACTCCAAATCGAGCTGAATCGATGAGGAGAATCACCATATTAGTTATCAACCTCATCATTTTTTTAATGACCATAGTTTGACAGACTTCTATTACTGATGGTATGTGTTGATTGAAGAAGAAATAAAAAATCTGGGTCGTGGCAAGATATAACTGACTGCTTCTGGGCTGCGGGCTCGGTGGTCAACAGAGTTACGCCAACCAACTTCTATATAGATCTTAATTCCACCTCAGTTATTAAGGGTTTTATATCATGAGTTCCCTTGGCAGTTGGTCAAAACCCTCAGTGACTGAATTAAAATTAAATTCTTGTCAGCAGATGGGTGTCATAGCTCAGCTGGTAGACGACAAGGGTGGTAACTCGAAAGTGACTAGTTCGCATCCTTTAACGATCCAGAATTCCATTTCACCTTCAATCACCCCCTGGTGTCAGAAATAATAAGAAGCGTGTACTGTATTCTCACAGCTCACAATATAGTCACACACTTACTTGATACAGGTATTTGTGTGAAAATTAGTAAACGCGGAAGACAAATGAATATGGGTCAGATGTGAAGATCCATAAAGCAAAATTAACTACTGCAATACCTGCGAGTTCAAAACCGAATCTGAAAAAGATGGTTTAACTAGATAACATATTGTTTTTTAATAGCTAAAGGTGGCCCAAACCTTCTAATAGATAGTGCTTCTACAAACTTCAAAATAAATCGGCCACACATTGTGTAGATGGGTTTAAACAATGTATGTAAATCCCTTTCATACCACGTTTCAGTAGCATGTTTAGCGAATGAACAGTTCGGACTTTTGTTTCCAGAATAATTCCATGACATCTGAAAACGTTCTCAGAGATAAATTATGTTTTCTGGATATTTTGGTCCCTAGACGAAACAACAGAGCTATCAGAAGATCAACATTCCTATTTGTTATAAATGCTTTTCGGCTAGACGTTTATTCTCAACAGATCGTGGAATGTGTAATACCAATATCTTTGATGATGAAATATAATGTAAACATCCAATTTTGAAGGGGAAATTTCGATGTATGCCCAAGTAATGACAAGCTTACTGAGGAGATAGATAGAAGACAAAGAAAAAGTCTTCATTAAACTACCATTTGAAGGTGACCAGATTATGCAGTTAACAGCTAAAAGGCTTTGTTTGCTTATCCAACGCACTTTTTATGTCCTTTTTCTTTCATTTATCCTTAAGGACATTTTCTCTTCCAGTACCAACAGTTAGAGTACGAACTTCAGTCAACTCTGACTCACATTTTATCTACAAGTTCACCTATGGTCATAAGGAGATTCATGTAAAAAAGCTAACAAAACGATACAATACCATCAGAAAAAAAACACGTCCCTTGGTGGTTACCAAACCACAAGATTTAACCAGATGAATGGGTATTCAGAATCATCTGTTGCCATCTGTTGACGAGATTTGCGGCGATATACTTATTGCTGTCAGGTTGATTCATCACGGAATAACTTCAGTTGGAAAACCACTGGAAACCTAGAAACACTGGACAACTCTCTCGTCCTATTATGCGACTCCTCAGCAGTGAGCATCTGACACTCCTGCAGGAATCGAACCTAGGCTTTTCAGGTTCCACAGTCAGCGCGCTACCGTTGAGCCACTGGTTCGGAATCCAGTGGTCCGTATTTCCCACTTAACTCAGTTCACGATAAGGCACAACCTTCGTCCAATGATGTACTTAAGTAACTGTCTTCAGGCTCGACTGTTTTTGAATTGCTGTTTCACATCACTTCAATCCAAAGTTTTCAAAGGTGATAAAGTAATTTGGATCATTACTGACTCCAAAAAGTGATATGGGAAAATAATAGATGAAAACTTTTGTTTACCCTGGACTACTTGACCTGGCACAATAACTGATTATTAATATCTTCCTTCACTTTATATAACTACAAATAATGAAAGGTTCGGAAACCCTGTGGTCACTGGTTCCAGACTAAACGTGGCCTAAATTTTCACTTCAACTTGAATCATCATCACGCAGTATCAGTATTATATGTGTAACAAACCACGGCTATCTCAAGAAGATCATTTTTTGTTGTAAGCCATGTTAGTTGTTTAGAGATTGTAGAGAAAATATGAAATTTAGATGTTATTAGAAGACGAGGTTTATCTGAAACATTTCGAATAATCTGATCATACATTTAATTGTCAAGTCAAAGTGAGAGGAAAAATGAAAGGTGAAATATATAATGAAAATGAGAGGGTTGTGACACTACTCTCGGCAATATAATCAGATAAGGATTATCAAGGTGAATAACACGGAACAACAAACTGTTTTTGTATATATAAAGGGGGCTTCAGTTAACGAATGGCTAATGCTTCAGCAACTTTCAGTGTGCGCCTTTGACTCTTTCTATATAATATCTTGAATGCGGTTTTCATATTAACTTTATGAATCATTTCTATGATATGTTTTGCTACAAATGAAGATGTCTGTTACCTACACTTATCAAGGGTTGTGTTAAACTGTTTTTCATGCTATATATATATATATATATATATATATATATATATATATATATATATATATATATATAAATTCCTAGTCTCCTCCCTATGCATGTGCGCATACGCGTACATGTAATTTGGTAAACACGATGGGATGTGACCTAATCACGACGTTGAGGTTTGTGGCGAAGCAGGTGTTTTGTTGTCTCAACAAGGATAAACGGAGTTGCATAGTATGTTTTACTGATAACAGATTTTAAATCTCTGTTTCAATATCATACTACTCATTTTTGTATGGTACTTTAAGATATATATCCTATTCGGGACCGAAGAAACTATAGGTATTGGAGTCATCTGTTTTTTACAACAGTTCACAAACTGTAATGGATATTCGTTTTCCATAAGTGTGTCCGCCAAATATTTTCTCTCACTATCCATTGTGTCAAATGTACAAATACTTCGCTTCGTATTAAATAAGCATCTCATTAGGCCTCTCTTACATTTCATTGAATTAATGCTGTAGAAATTATTGTATGGTCTTTTCCAAATAGGCTTTCTATAGATTGTATGTGTAATAGATCCATTTTCCCTCCAACACAAGAGTGTATCAGGAAATGTAAGTTGATGATCATTTTCTTCCTCATATGTCAGGCTGATTATGATCGTGTACGGTGCTAAGCTTTTAAACAAAACCACGGCATCCTCACCTGTGTCACATATTACAGTGATATCATCAACACACGACATATAAAATGTGACATTACTGATTGAATCCTCAGCCATTAGTTCAATATATGACATATATACATCTGCTAATAATGGTCCTAATGCATTCCCCATAGCAACACCATTAATTTGTTGGATATGTTCACCTTCTGAAGTGAAATGAAACTCATCAATACATAATAAGAGTAGCTCTTTAAATGCAGAGGAGAAATTGGGGAAGAAGGATAAATCAAGGATATTTACTTACATAAAGCACTGAGAATTGGGCTCAATATTCCGGTTAACCATTTCGCCAACCTGTATGTGGGAGACTGACACATTGACAGTATTCGGCGTAGGGGGTTATTAAGTTCATGAACTTCTGGAAGTCCATATAGATTTCTAAAATTAGATCTCATGAGTTTTAAGGAATTGAACTGCGCTTTAGCAATAACATCCATCATGAGGATTTTACCTAGACTAGATGTAATTTTTCCTTCTAATTCTCAAATATTCTCTGATGAACCGTCCCCCACGAATTTACTTTCATCACAGAGAATATTATTATTGTCAAAATTATTTCTTCTTTGAGTTCCTAGTGAATCATAAATCTTGAGTAGCACCTCACCATTACACTCACTTCTCTACACTCGTCTCAACATGATTCCACCACTCACCACAAACTTCCATTTCTTACTCACACAATCTCCTTCATTTCACCATCAAACACACGATTCGTCGTTTCCCATTTGCATTCCACTCGAGAGCCCGGACTGGCCTCATTTGGCCTGATGCATGATGTCTCAAAACCCTCTTCTCACAGAATACCCAATCCATATCCACTTTCTTATGATGCATAGTTGTTGAGTGATGGGTTGTTGGTTGGTTCGTTGCCAGCCACAGTGACTTCCTTCTTGCTCATTCTTATTATTCTGGCCATCCATCTGATCTCCAACTTCAGTGTCGACTGAACGTAGGTGGCAGCTGTTGAGTTGACGTGATGTATGTCTGTCTGTAGTTTGTTGGAAATGCTTTCCGTGATGCACGAAGTCTGTCAACCACCACATCGAAGCATTGACTTGACTGACATTGGTGTTGGGAATGTGGATGTTGTTGACACATTATGTTGAGTGTAGTGCATTGTAGTGGATCTCCAGGATGATTGATTTCAGGTTGATGAAGGCGTGTGTTGCTGTGTTTCCGATTCTGGTTTTGACATCCTCGTCTGTGCCTGTGTCGCCTGTATCATATCGAAATGATTCATAAAGTTAATATGAAAACCGCATTCAAGATTCTATATAAAAAGAGTCAAGGGAGCACACTGAAAGTTGCTGGAGCGTTAGCCATTCGTTAACTGAAGTCCCTTTTATATATACAAAAACAGTTTGTTGTTCCGTGTTATTCACCTTGATAATCCTTATCTGATTATATTGCCGAGAGTAGTGTCACAACCCTCTCATTTTCATTATATATTTCACCTTTCATTTTTCCTTTCACTTTGACTTGACAATTAAATGTATGATCAGATTATTTGAAATGTATTGTGCAAATACATTACAGATGTTTCAGATAAACCTCGTCTTCTAATAACGTTTTCGAAATTAATGGGACTAGTTTTTTCAAAAACTTGAAATCATATTTCTATATGATAATTACCTTTTTTTTGCTTTTTTCTAAGAATTTATTACTGGGGATTTATTACTAGGGATCGAATTCTGGACCTTCAGGTTTCATGGCAAACGCGTTAAACATTCAGTCACTGGGTCGGTTTCCAGTGGTCCACAATTTCCAACTTCTCCCAATTAACGGCATAGTGTGACTATCACCTAAGGTCCACATTTAACCTCCACTTCACTTCCGACTGGTTGACCCTACAGGTCACGGCTTCTCATTAGAGCTTCATGATATCCATGTGGAAGCAAGTCACTAATGAGCACTATAAAGTAGTGTAATTTTGATATGAATGGGATTTTTAATTTAGAAGTAGTATTCATCATGGACTGATATCGGTTGGGGAACTATTGAAAATCAGAGTCAACTAGTCGTAAGTGAAGCGGATGCTTACTGAAGACCTTGAGTGATAGTCACACTATGTCATGAATTGACAGAAGTTGGAAATTGTGAACCAGCAGAAACGGACCCAGTGGGTGAACGGTAATGCGTTCGCCGTGAGGCTTGAAGGTCCCGAGTTCGATCCTTAGCCGGGTCGTTGGTGCGTGCTGCTGACGAGTCCCATACTAGGATGAAACAGCTGTCCGGTGCTCCCAGACTTTCAATAGTTCCTCAACTGATGTCAGTCCTTGATGAATACTATTTCTAAATTAAAAATCCCCATTGATCTCAAAAATACTCCTGTTTGTTTCTGAAGCCACTTATGAATGCATCCTTCGTTCTTGATTTTCACTGAATCATGAATGAATCCTCAATATGCAAGTGTGATCATATATACACTGAAATTAGTAAATACACTGTGATATGAATTCATATTTCACATGTTTCAAAGAAGTATTGATAGATATTCAATCTGGATATACTTATAGCTAGCCATCTGCCTTCACTATATATTGTCTACTCAACTGATTAACATAACAAACCAGAATAATCAGTTATACATTCAATGTGCCTACTCATTTATCCTGTTACTTCCTCAATTATATTTTCTATTGTTTATTAATGATACAGAGAACAAGAATTTGTATCTCGTCTAGAAGATGACCTACACAAAATCTTTACTTCGGGGGAGATTAAATTCTATGTGACACTGAGTGAAATCGAAGAATCATCACTTGATAGTTCAGAGTTGAAAAAGTTGAAAAAGAAATTGAAAGAAGAGAAATCACGAGCATTTGCTATAGAAATGACAGCACAAATGCCTAGAGAGGAAACTTCACCTGTAAGTACTGCTTTCTAGTATTTTTACAACAATTCACTTATGTATGCTTGTCATGGAATAAATAAACTGAGATAATGTACGTCATTGTACTCGTCTGATGGTGTTGTTGCCGTCAAAAAAGATAGAATAACTAGCTCCCATTACATATAGCTGATTTCTATATAAAAAAATAACAAGATATAAATCTTCTGGATCGTGTAACATATTTATGCAACGCATTTCGAACAATCTAATCACAAACATACTTGAAATGTGTATTTATATGAAAATTTATTAAAACGAAGGGATGAGAGTATAAAAAGAGGTCGAGTAGTAAGGGTGAATTGAGGGCCGAATAAAAAAGTAATCAATACAGCGAAAATAATAACACACCGAATTTAGTTTCAGAGCTGAATTCACCAAGAGATATTCAATGTGACAACAAATTGTTTTTTAATGCGCAGGGGTGGTTTAATCTTATTAATAGCTAAGGCCTCGACAGAGTTAAGGATCCATCCCTATCAAGTTCTATGAATGAGTCTGGAAGGAAACAGAAATCTAAATCAAAGAACTATCAAAGAACTTGGACGTCCGCTACTAATATTTACAGGTTCAGGTGATTTGCTTCTGAATTCACTTTATAATATGTTCTCAGGACCTTGCTTGCATGGATCCATGAGTCATACCTATGTAACTGTCACTGTATATATATTTAAACTGATAAATGCAGTGAGATATGACATTATCGTTCACATGCTGTAAGGGTTAGGGAGAGTAAACGGGCTTAGTGGTTTCTGTTAATCTAACCCTAATTTCACAGTAAGTCTTTCTAATAGCAGTGTTAAGCCATTACTGATAGTGGGTTGTGCTAAGAGAGCCACTTTAGTACGGAAGACTGATGAAGACATCTTTTTTCAGGATAAAGTGAAGGGAAGGCTTAGACGCCTCGACCACTTTGTGCCCGCTAATAAACTATGATGGATTGTTATTTTCCAACACTGTTTCAATCAATTTCCTTGTCACTTCTTCCAAGTCTCATCTGTGAATACTAGTCGAATCTTATTGAATTAGCATGTAACTAATGTTCACTTATACTGGACTGGACAAAAGCTATGATGATTTAAATATACCCCTATTCATGTAATTCATATGAATGTTTTATGGATCCATTCCACCATCGACTATTCACAATGTCCAAGAAAAACAAAGAATCATCTTCCTTTTCTACACACATCAAAGATATACTTCTCTGAGCTTCCCACAATCCGTTTAGAATTGAAGTGGACTGACTTAGATTATCACATATAATTAGGATATAATAGACATATCTTCGGAATGAATGGCCTTTCTCAATTAGGTTCCCTGCTAAATTTCTTACGTGTGACACAAATATTGCTGATAAAATGGGACCTAAGGAACTTCCCACGGCAACCCCATCAACCTCATGGAAATATTCACCCTAGAATGTATGTATGGTGTTGCTTGAACGCATAAAAGCAGTAACTCTTTTGAGTGATGCAAAGAAATAGCTATTGAAAAATTATGCTTAGAAATTCATAATCACATAAAATATCGATTGTTAACTAGACCAACTAATGAAGATTTTACAAATGATAATTTTCTTCTTCACGATACAACCTATCCATCTGAACAGATTGAAATCGAGATGGAAATCACATTTCCCTTCTTAGAACAATATCTAAGCAGTCACTTTTGTACTAATACAACAACCTATCGTCAGTAATATGAAGGTGAAGTAAAGATGGTATTGTCAGATTGGTGAACAATACTAAATATTAACTGTAACATTTGCGCGCAAGTTTATAAAATAAAGATTTCAACAAAGAAAATTACTCTTTGTGACAATTTCATTTTCAAAAGCCATACACTCATATTTACATATAAGTTGAAGTAAACAGTAACAAATTCCTCTGTAAATGGGTGTTTTAGTTTTACAGTAAGTGAAATTATGTGCTACATTATTGTGAGTGATGATAATATTTCATGTATCATCAAATCAATTGGGAAAATATATAAGACCAAAAGGGAAAGTCGCAAGATAGGGAAGGGAAATAAGTGAATGAATATGGTGTGATTTCATTTAAAAGTAGGCGAGTGGAGATTATATGAAACAACAAATGTGAACATCAGCTGGACAAAAAGCGAAAATATTATGACGAAATACTAGGTAGTGAAATGTAATAAAGTAAAAGTAAGGAAGAGCTAGTTGTATGTAATATTTGGTCCAAATGATCCGCTAGGTTCAGAGTAGTGAAAGGAACCGTAAAACCTTCTTCTGTACACCTAGTTCTGGTTTAATTTTATGTATCACAAAGGTGATTGCATGCATGAACCTTTCGATAAGTTCGATCTGATCTTGTAAATTATGTCAAATGATGACTCGGAGGTTGCACGGTTGCAGTCAACGACATAATGGTGTACTAATAAATTTATACTCCTACACTCCTTTTTGCTCATTCATACTGGGAAATGCTGTTGAACCCGATGGGGAATGTTTCTTGATGAAATTAATATGCAGTTAACTCCAAAAAAGCTTGTAAACACTTAAATGCACATCGAATTAAGCAATCAAGACAAACTTTCTTCAGCGTTAAGATAAACCAAAGGATAGTTAGAGTAGGTAACTCTTAGGTACATACCATGAAATGCTTTCTTTAATATAGGTGTAAAACTTGGGGACTATGGTAGAATTTAATCCCGTATTACATTTGTTTATTTGATATATAACACGCAGTGAAATGGTATTATTTACTTGATGACGTTTATTGTTACTCAGAATCATATCAATGTAGCTACGCTACTTTCGACATTTGCTTTTTATAGCTATATCATCTCATATGATTTTTGTTGGTGGTAAAATGTTCCATATCTTTGGTATAGGTGTTGCGTCATTTCTGTTACATGTTTTAGGTGTTGGTTGATTTGATGAACAAAGATTCAGTAATCAATCTCTTTCTCCATCTAATTATATTGCACTAAAATACAGTGGTTTTATCCCACCCATCCTATTGTGTGGTTTTGTGTTATTGCGTGTATTGCAGTAGACGAGTTTTCTTTTTGATTATTGATCTTTTTCGGATCTGTCATTCTATACTTAGCTAGATTCCTGTTCTGCTAATCTATTTGACCCCGACCGGCTAGTTTGACCTATGTACTTGACATCACAGTCATCACATGGAATTTGATAGATTATGTTATTTTCCTTAATTAGTTCTATCGGATACTTAAACCGACAAAGCTTATCGCCGAATGAATTTGTGGGTTTAAATGCCACCCTAATTTCGACTTTGCTGAGGGTCCTACGTAAAGATTCTCATGTATCTTCCTTAAAGGGTAACACAGTGGAGGCTGTGAAATCCATTCTACTCATGTTATTGTTGCTATTCGTACTCATGATACTGTTATTATTTCGTTCCTTGTGTATTCGTACGAAGTTCTTAATAAACTGTAGAGAATAATTATTAACTATCATTGCTTCTTTTACGTGTTTCAATCCCTTTTTAGGTCCTTAGACTGACTAATCAGTTTTCTAGCTCTATCACTTAGACATTTGACTAAGCCTGCCTTAAGTGACATTGGATGGGATGACTTGAAGTCTGGATACCTGGTAGAATGTGTCTGTAGACGGTAGTATCAAACCACCGTCTGTCCTTCTTTTTATCCTGCTATCCAACATAGGTAATTCTCCTTGTTCATTTTCTACCTCATAAGTGAGTTGAATTGCGCCTTATACCGAATTTATATATGTGAGGAAATCGTCGATATGTTCCGATTTCAACACAGTAAATGTGTCACTCACATATCCCCACTATATCTTAGGTGCACGGCTAAACCTTTTTAAAGCCATGTTTTCCCAATTATCCATAAATATACCTGCTACGATTGCGAATGTTGGCGATCCCATTACTACTCCTTCTGTCTGTCTGTATATTTTGTCCTGAAACTTGAAGACTGTGGAGGTCAGGCACAACTTTACGCCTGATATTATCTCATCTACCTTTGTTTTTGTTCTTTGAGTAAGTTCTGAGTCAATATTTAGTTGACTTCTGACTGCGTCCAATGCAATACTGATTGGTATTTCAGTATAAAGACTTATTATGTCGAGGTTAACCGTTTTTTCATCCTCTTTTGTGTGTAGGTCATTAAGCCTTAGTCTTAACTGATAAGAGTTTACTAGTCTGGAATTTAAACGAGTTTTAACATTATCGATACTAAGTACTTTGTTAGTTCATATGTTGGGGTATTTCTGAAGTCAATGATGGGTCTAATGATATCACCCAGTTTATGAACCTTAATAGTGCCATAAATTCTGTTAGGATTATTAGTTTTAGGCATTAAATTAAACCATTTAAACTCGCCTAGAGATGGCTTCAGTCGGTGTATCGTATCGTCTATAGATTTCTTAAATTTATTCACTAACTTGTTAGATGGCTCTTAAGAATTACGGCTGCAACATCATCTGTAAATCACAGAACAGTACAACACGTCTTTTATGACATGGTTGTTATTTTCAAATATCTTTTGATCTGTCTGCTCTTAAAGGTGATGAATACTCACCTTCGATAAAGTTTTGTTTCAGTAGTTTTAGTCCATCCTGTACACAACCTTGTGTACAGGTCTTCTGCACCCATGATGGAAGAGAACTAACCGAATCTCTCTACCTTTCTATAATTTTGTTGTTGCCATTTCCACACAGATTTTCTGCAGATTAATCTGTCCAGAGATCCATTAGATCTCCTTGTTATTAGCATTAGAATCCTTTTCTTCTTCGTGAATGAATTTAATTGATGTGCGACAACTATTCAATGTATTCAACCCGCCTTGCAAATCACAGGCAAAATCACAGATTATAAACGTATCGTCTCTAGTAGCCTCCCAATAGTTTGTGATTGACTACTATTCTCCATGCCTGCTAACAACAGACCTAATAGGTATCTCAATGCGACACCATCTTTCTGTCGACAGATTTCACCATTGAAAACGAGTTGTGCATTTAACACACATCAAAGCATGCGTTATGCAAGAAAAAGATGGAGTTATCCCCAAATAAACACTATTATGATAACAAAAATTCATAACAAGAAAAATACAAATGATTTAAAGTTCTCACAGACAAAATATATAGGTTAAAATTCACCAGTTTTTAGGATATGATGAATATTTATTGACTAAACTGTTAAGTTGACAACTTATTGTTTGAGAGAACCTAGAAAATGAATCAGTTCATACGATGAAATAAACTTCATATAGTGTTTCTAACAACATCATATATGTTTCCATATATTACTTACCATTGATGGAACCCCTAGTTAACAAAGTAAGGGAACAAAGGAAACTATGGGCTGGCCACTTCAAAAAGCTCTTGAATCGACCACCACCTGCAACTCATCCGGAAATACCACTAGCAGCCGCAGAACTATCAGTGAACCCAAGCTTTCTGACGAAAGCAGAAGTGTAGTCCTGAACGCCATAAAGTTACTGAAATGAGGGAAGGCAGCAGGACCAGGTGGAATCCCACCTGAAGCAATGAGAACAGACGCAGAGACAACAGCGGATATACTCACACCACCACTGCACAAGGTTTGCAAGGAAGGGAAGGTACCTGGCGATTGGAAGAAGGGCTACCTTGTCAAACTTCCAACGAACGGGCGAGAAATCATGCTGCTGTCCACTCCATGCAAAATGTTAAGCCGTATCATCTTGGAGAGGCTAAAGGATACGCTGGAAGCAAAACTACGACCGAAACAGGCCTGCTGGCTGTATTCAGGAAGTACAAATCATGTGCGGACCAAATTGCAACGCTACACTACGCATCATCATAGAAAAGAGTATAGAATGGCAGTCAACTCTCTACCTCAACTTTATCGACTTTGAGAAGGCCTTTAACCGCGTCGACCGAAAAGTAATTTGGAAACTGCTTCATTACTACAGAATACCGCAAACCTTTATAAGCTCCATTCAAAAACTATATGAAGACGCCACATGCCAGCCAAGTAATTCACAATGGAAACCTGCTCAGTGATGCTTTTGAAGTGGAGTGAAGATAGGAGTGAAACAAGGCTGTCTACTATCACTCATGATCTTCATGTTTGTGGTCGACTGGATCATGCAACAAACAGTGAGGAGCGAGAAGAGGGAGATACACTGGACCGGGGAAAAGATCCTAAAAGACTTAAATTTTGCCGATGGCTTGTGTTTAGTGTCGCACAAACTTGAAGATCTACAGGCAGAAACCAACAAGTTGTCAGAAGAGTCAGCTAAAGAAGATGGGATTTTCTTCAGGTAAATGTAAGATGACAGAGGTGATGAAGATGCTCAATTAACAACAGCAACAACAAGCACCAATCGCCAATAACGGGTGAAACCTGAAAGAAATTGCCTCTTCCACCTACCCACCTAGGCAACATACTCTCAACTACAGGCGACACAAGCACAGACGAGGATGTCAAAACCAGAATCGGAAACACAGCAACACACGCCTTCATCAACCTGAAATCAATCATCGTGGAGATCCACTACAATGCACTACACTCAACATAATGTGTCAACAACATCCACATTCCCAACACCAATGTCAGTCAAGTCAATGCTTCGATGTGGTGGTTGACAGACTTCGTGCATCACGGAAAGCATTTCCAACAAACTACAGACGGACATACATCACGTCAACTCAACAGCTGCCACCTACGCTCACTCGACACTGAAGTTGGAGATCAGATGGATGGCCAGAATAATAAGAATGAGCAAGAAGGAACTCACTGTGGCTGGCAACGAACCAACCAACAACCCATCACTCAACAACTATGCATCATAAGAAAGTGGATATGGATTGGGTATTCTGTGAGAAGAGGGTTTTGAGACATTATGCATCAGGCCAAATGAGGCCAGTCCGGGCTCTCGAGTGGAATGCAAATGGGAAACGATGAATTGTGTGTTTGATGGTGAAATGAAGGAGATTGTGTGAGTAAGAAATGGAAGTTTGTGGTGAGTGGTGGAATCATGTTGAGACGAGTGTAGAGAAGTGAGTGTAATGGTGAGGTGCTACTCAAGATTTATGTTTCACTAGGAACCCAAGGGAGAAATGATAAAAATAATAATAATTGGTGGGACCACCAGAGGTAGCTTTGCTCTTATAGACTGGTGTTATTCATTCTGAATGATGATTGAAACTGAAATGGTAGCCTGATTCGCAGCAATACGTGAGCCAATGGTCTCTGGGTTACCGACACATCATCCAGCTGACTGAGCTAACAGATTTAATTACTAACCAGTTTTAACCGAACTAGCATAGGAACCCGTGATATGTGACTATCCGTTCTTTATAATCATACTGACTACCCAAACAAGCTTTCTCTTCCCAAATGAAATTTAGTTGAATTATATGAAAGAATCATCTTACTAATTGTTAGTGGGAGTATCTTAGACAGCTTCGATTTCTCAGACTTTTATAATCAATAGTAGGTGAATAGTGAAAGACGAATGCATATTAAGGTTGTGATAGTATTTGAACCAATTTCCTCCGGGTCATCGATTGATCACTGGCTAATATCAGCTAGAAAATTATTAGAAACCGAAGTCACTGGAAGCTTGTTTCACTTTATTTTGGACTTTTCAGCAGTGCATACTCATGACCTTGTTAGAAATTCAGTTCAGAATAATTAAATCTTTATCAAAACGTTATCATTCAATCACTTAGCTGTAGCCATTGTGGTCTTACTTCTGTTGATCCATCCATCCATCCATGATCTTAGTTGAAGTTGTTTTCTAACATGATAACTTTTATTTCAATTTAATTTTCAGTTATCTTCACCGGATAGTTATTCCGTCACTGAAAATACCACTATTCCATCCCTATGTTCAGTCACTTCAGCTGGTTCAGTAGTAAGTTGACTATTGGTAGGGAAGAATTACAGCGATTTCTTAATTGCCTATTTTAAAATAACTATGAGTGGAAAAATATTCCAAACAACAGTTATTTTTTTCATAAAATTTAATAACTGTATGTTATTTCACTGTAACATAAAATCAAGGAATATTTACGTAAAGAAAACCATAAAAATAAAGAATATTGTTTAGCGACAAAAAAGGAGTGACAAATTCCTTGTTTATTCATTACTGGTCAGTTTGACGGTGAAATGTTTGACGTTATGGTTAGAAACTGAGAACAGTAAATTCAAGCAATTTAAATACCAATGTGGAGGTTCATAAGTGTCGCTGGATGAGGATTATGTTGTAACACTAGCTGATAGAGTTTGGAAACTTGGATCTTTCAATCCCCACACAGCAGTGCAATGTCTATTCAATAGATTCAAGAACTAAGGGCCTTAGGTTTGGTGTTGTGTATGCTTTTATATGACTGCCGCTAAAAATATCTAGGAAATGCTATCTGGTTTTGCAGTGGTTATCCTACAGATATCTCGACGTTACCTGAATATTCATTGTTATAATGTGCCTGATGGTGACTAGGCAATATCAAGGCATCCACATAGGAGCACATATGCCAACAGAGGTTCGTCTGTTCGATCCAGTATAACAACGAGGAATTACAAACATCAACAAATAAAAATGGCCAATATTCATCGCACAAGGTATTTCTCTGTATCCTCAATAGCCTGGTGGATGATGTAGTGGCGCGTGACGCGTCGAATGTTGGTGGAAACACCTTCAGTCACTAAGGTGCAAGCATATTTAATTGATCAGTCTCAAATGAGAAGAAATAGGCATGCTGCATCCTACTGCTACTCACTACCCATCATCACTACAAGAGTGGTTGTATCTTCATCACAGCAGAGTATTTCCACAATATTACTAATCAGCACTTAATTCCTAACTTCATGTACATCATCACCGCCAGTTCGAAGTAATTTGTGTAAGTCTGCTGCAGTTATTCAGTAGTAGTGAGTATTTTGAAGACTTCTAATGAGTGTTAGTCATAAACTAAACTAGTTGTTCAATCCCACACTATGCAAGCTGAAGGATGTACTGGGAAATGTAAAAGGGACCTACGTTATTTAGCAAAGTTAGTCACATGTATTATGTTGAGGACTATATTGGCTGATTTGTGCCTTCTCCAAGTGAATGTTCACGAATGTAAATTTAACAGCTCACCTTTCATATTCATGAATGTGAACAAATAAGTGTACAAATTTGGTTTGAAGAAGGGATAAGTTTTAGACAGAAGAAACTTTAAGAATGCTTGACAATTCTTAGAAGTCTGACGCTGAGGTTATTCTGTTTTCATTTAACAAATTTACATGAATGCCAACTATTAGCCAATAATGAAGACATCTTACGCTTGAATTTACAGTTAACAGATGAGAAAAATGAAATTGCCTCACACAATGATTATAATTCTCTGACATGTGAAAGCCATTAGTCAACCTCATAGACAATAGAGAAAAGTCATCGGTTAAGACATTTTTGAAGCTTCTTTCTTGATGAGTTTGTCACCAACTACATCTAATATGACCTTTGAATGTTTTCAGCAGGTCTACCTACCTCAGAGAATGTAACAAACCCAAGAAATCATCATCAGCGATATTACAATTATCGGATAATGAAACTTGTCATTCCCCATTGCTATACTAGGTGGAATCGTTTCAAGTCTTTTGGCAAGTGGGCTGCTGTTCAGAAGCCTCGATACTGGGATGCATGTATATTCAGCTGACTAGTCACAAATGGGACGAAAAGCCAGTCCGGGATTCCACTGATAGCCACCACACAGACTAGACAATATGCTGTAATTAACTAATGTCTGGTAGTGCATTCCAGGTAGATGGGAGCGATGAGATTACCACTTTGGAAAGATGAATAACTGAAGCACTGTATTGTGCGTCATACAATTTCCAAATGAGCATTTCATTTGAATTTGCGGGTTTGTGGGGATCTAGGGATCTTTCAAGTTGGTTTCCATCATGGACTGACATCAGTTCCAATGGAAAGTAGTAACCGGTGGGGCATAACCTGGTGGACATAGGCACAAATATATAACGATGACACTGGGTGATGGTCACGCTATATCATGAATTGATAGAATTAGGAAGTATGTACCACTGGATTCCAACCCACTGGTTCAATGGTAACGTGTTCGCTGAGGAACCTGAAGGTTCTGGATTCAGACAATGTAGGGGTCATGTGTACTCACTGCTGAAGAGTCCCATACTGGGAAGAAACAGGTGTCCAGTGCTCCCATGTTTCCAGTGTCCCTCCAACTGATATCAGTCCGTGATGAATGACAACTTGAACATATTTCATTGCTAGTATATTTCACTTAACAAAAGCATCGGTCACAGAGTTTAAAAAGAAATCTGCTTCTAGTCATTTTGTTCGCTTGACAAAAGTGAAAGTATGAAATTTTGAAGGAATGCTATCATATTACTTTATAATTAGGGAGTAACGTTAATTTTTTAAAGTATCAGAGATTAGAAGCGCTGTGTAAATATTGCTAAGGCATCTTTCATGTCAACTGAAATTCATTACTTTAGAGAATAAATTTTTTTTGCAGTTTTCGTCAAATGTATACTGGAACTTCTGAAGAAACTTGGAAAGTGCTTATCAATACTTTCTACTCGTTTATTCTGTTTTAGATAACTTGCCAACAGTCTCCAACAGGGACTCAGTCAAATCGTGATTCAACAGAAATCCTTGAGTCTGTAGAAGATTGCTTAAGTGATGATGGTCAACAACAGACATTAAGGGTTAGCGAGAAAACCTTCTTAAATCGTGTTGAAGACAGTTGGATGCATGAGAATCAATCTCTTCTACCACAGCCTATCTGGCCTTATTCATTCTATGAAGGCACAAATTTAGAATTGTATACTAGTCGAAATCAAGGTAGCGAAATTGAAAGTATTGATAAACTGCATCCATTGAATAATGAAATACAAATGGAAAGTTTATTTCAACAATCGCGCTTAATTGTCACCTTGGTCGGAGCGAAAAATTTAAAATTGCGTGGAAAACAGAGGAATGTTGCACCATTTGATAATGATAGTTATAAACTTTTACGTAGCAAATCAGCACGAAGTCATAATTCAGATAATGTACAAAGTGGTTGTACAGATGAGGAGAAAAGTCATCTACCGTGCCCATTAGCAACGTTAACTGTTGGTGTCAAGACACAACAAAGTAAAGTAGGTCTATTAGTAATGGTTTTCATTCATTGTAAAAAAATTTGTCTTTAAATCTCTTTTCCATTTGAATAAAATCATCAATATCTGGTAAAATGTTCTCATAGTACTACTACTTTCTATCAACTTTGGAGTCTTGTTGAAGAAACCATCATGACCCTTTGAATACATCTCTGTTTGTAGTTTAGTAACTTATCTAAAATAATACCGAAATTGTGCATTATATGATTCAGTGAGCTAGGAATTTAATAAACATACTGAATATAGTGAATTACTCAAACTAGTCACAAGCGAAAACACCTCCCCCTTCACCCTCCTTAGAATTTACATTCTAAACAAGATATAGTACAGCATGGAATTTTCAACATTCACTAGTTCAACTAGTTCATTCCCTGTACAATATTCTTAAGCAAAATAATCATTGCATTTGAATAATGTTAATAATAGCAGTAATAAAGATAACGATGTGAAGCAGGCACTTGGTATTGCATTAGTATCTGGTTTGAACTGGTGAATGAAAAGAATATCAAGCGTAATTTTGGTATTGCTTGTTTGTTCAGCTAGTACCAAAATCTACGATTCGACATAGTTATCCAAGGAATAGTAATATACTGTATTTCTTTGGATTTATAAGCCCATCCGTTACTGGCGTATCGTTTATTATTTGTTTCTCTGTTAGCTTGAAAAACAGCAGTTTGCAACCATTTAAAAAGTGCGCAAGAGTACTTGACGCGTTTAAAAGACATATTTGTAAAATTAAAACAAAATAAAACAAATAGATTTGATGAGATAAATTCGGTGGAGAATTTTCGGTAGCCCAAAGTTTGAGCAGGCTACCCAACTTTGTACCACGTTCAATCAAGGAAGTATATAAAAAAGAAAGTTTTCTAGTGACTTTAAGAATGATACCAAATGAACAAAATCGGATCATTCCCATAAACAGTATTCATACAAAATTGTAATGAGAAATGTTAAGCTATTGAATACATCTGGCGGGATAACATGTCATGATTTGAAACTCAAGACCTCATAACTTCACTGTTTATGATTCTTGCAGATACAGTGTGGTAAAATGGAGAAAATCCTATAGTTCAGTCAACTGTTTCACATCATTTATTAATTCTTTGAGATAATGCTTGTTTTAACACTCATAAAACTACGAAAGCTGAGTAAAGGCAATGCATATTACGACCTTAGTTTTTTTATCAAAGTCTACATACTGGTCTTGAAACTTGACCACAAATCTGACCAATAACTCAGGTTGGTGTTCATCATGGACTGACATCAGCTGGAGAAACACTGGAAACTTGGGAGCACTAGGCAGCTGTTTCGTCCTAGAATAAGACTCCTCAGCAAAGCACACCCATGACCCAGGCAGGGTGATAGTAACGTTATGTTGTGAGATAGCGGTAGTTGGAAATATGAAACAGTGGACCTCGACCCGGTGGCTTGACGGCTAGGTATTTGCGAGGGGACCTGAAAGTCCTGGGTTCGACCCCTGAGGGTTCATATGCACACAATGCTGAAGAGTCCCATACGAAGACAAAACAGCTGTCCAGCGTTCTTAGGTTTTCAATGTCCCTCCAGATGATGTTAGTCCATGATGATTACTGACTTTGAATCAATAAATCCTCATAAACACTAAAAATGAATTAAAACCCAAGTTTTAACCTCAGTAATTTGGCAATTTGGATCCAATGTCCTCTAGAAGTGATTCCCCTAGATGATCTCTTTTACGTTATTATGACTGATCATAACGACTTAACCTCTTAACAGTGAAAAATTGAACTCTGAAAGTCAACTTCTGAACCTTGACCATTACATTCAACTTCTAAACTCTAGTTCATCAATTCAAACTAATACATTCAATAAAGAAAATATGAAATCGTAACTTGACTTTTTACCTACTTCAATGAAGGATTTTGTAGGCATTGGTTGATTTGAAAATAGTTCTTTTTACTGATGAATGTAAAGTGGGAAGATTTATTGAAATTTCGGGAGAACTACATAATTTATTTTCTAATTTCGAACTCCTCAGCAAGGAGTCACTACAACCCTACAAGGGATTGACAAACATATATCAGTCAGTTACTGAGTTTGAATTTTTGCTTCATCCTGTTGATTCGTGATGTTGAAGGTGAAATGGATATTTGGACTGCCAGCGGATTCGAACCAGAGAACGCCGGGTTACCTGCTCAGTACTCTACCAACTGAGCTACGAGGTTCGAATGCTGACCAGGATTTTATTTTACTTCAATCACCAAGGGCTTGCCCGAATACCATGTGAATTTGTGACGCGTTACTACAGCTTGATCGTATTTTACACTGACTGCCTAATCAGGATTTCATATCCCAATTCAAATCTATCTGCATCAGAGAGGGGAAGCATCATACTGATTATCATTTGACTATCTGAGATAGCCGTATTTTGGCAGACTAGTATTTATTCTGGGTAGTGATTGAAGGTGAAAAGGAAATTTGGACAGCGGGCGAACTGAACTACGAGGTCTGACTGCTAATCACATTTTTGTTTCACTAGTCTGCCAAACCATAGCTATCTCTAATAGTCAAATAATGATTCATGATGTATCGTGACCATCATCTAATGTTATTCTTGAACATCTCTCTTTACATGCGACTTAGATGAACCCGTAAGGTAGTTCACCCGCCACGAAATTTAATTGTATTAGGTTTAGTCCATCCTGATTTTATGAAGGTGTTAAAAACTGGTATCAGACAGATATTAAATGGACAGTTTTCAAATGATTCTCGAAATGATGTCAATTTTGTTATGAAAACTACATCATATTCATTTCCACCTATTAATTTTTCATTAGAAAATCGCATAATTTTCCTATAAATTTTGTATATTTATTCTCTATTTTTTTTCTCAAGGTTGTTATGCATACAAAGAATCCATTATGGAATGAAAGATTTGAATTCCGTGTTCGTCCTGGAATGAGAACAGTATTACAATGTGAAGTGTTTGATGATTCACATCAAAACGCTAATCTACTTGGTCGGTAAGTTGATGTCAATGAGTGGAATAACAAGTTCGATGTATTCGAAGCTAATAAATTAAAACCTTGAAGTATAATTCTATGCAATGGTAGCTGGTAACTTAATTCGAAGTTTGAATATTGACATTATCTGCAAAGACTTGCTGAGATTGAAAATCACTACACTCTCAGTTAAAACATCATTAATTATCCTGATATGAAGCATCCGCGTATTAGCATTACCTTGCTACACAGATATCATATCAATGCTGCAATGAATACTGGAAAATTCAGTTCATTTTATTAGTTTAGTAGAGAAAATCTAACGTCATCTGATTTTGGATAAATTTCGTTCCTCAGTTCACTACTCTAGGAAGTTTTAATATAAGTAGAATCACTTCATTGTGAGCATTCCTTAGTTGTTGATGGATAACGACTAGTAACTGAACCCAGAATGTGCGTTTAGTCCTGTTTTGGATGTACCTACTCACAATTGTTGACATCGTCAACCATAGAAATCGAGCCGACGACCTGTAGGTTCAAACGCTGGAACCTTAACCCACTAGACCAGCAAGACACGATAACTGTATCCTGTTAGACGAGTATAATTCCAATATCGTCGTTTGTATTAATATATAGTTGAAACACAGACAATATTGAGGTAACCGCACAGGTGCCTATATCCTAATAGAGGCTGATCGCTTCGGTTCACTCAACGACGGGATAATACAGACAACAACACTAAAATATCCTTTAGTTTTGAAATAGTGGTATCAAGTTTTAAAAGGTTCTTAATTTACTTCAACTGGACTTGTTTAACGCTTGAGAATTTGCAGTTTCAACGCATGATTTACTTAACACACGAACCGTATGCCTTTTTAATGGTAATCTGCTAACAATGTTGTCTTTGGGTGTGAATTAACAGGACTGATTCTCTTGCAAACTGGATTACAAGCAGCCGAGTATGGAAATATTCATATTGTTTGAGATAAACATCATTTAAAACCTGGTGGGCGTAAGGACAAATACTTAACATTGACATTGGGTGATGGTCACGCTATGTACTGAACTGACAGAAGTTGGAAATATGAACTGTTGATTCCGGTCCGATGATTCAGTAATAACGTGTTGGCCGCGGGACCTGAACGTCATGGGTCTGGTCCTCGATGGGGTCATGGATGTGCACTGCTGAAGAGTCTTACACTAGGGGGTCCCAGGTGTTCATTGTTCCTCCAACTGATGTCAGTTCATACTGAATACCAACTGAAACACCATTTAGAAGGTCTATTTCATTTATTCTTATATACGCTAGGAAGGCCTTAGCTTGATGTTTACAGACACTGGCATACAGGCTTGATGTTCCTTCAAAAAAAACTGATACTCACTCAAAGTTTGAGTCGCATGTCACCCAGTATCAAGCAGACGTTATACTATTCTTAATGTATAACCCTCTTGACTACATGTAACGAAACTGTTACGACGATTAAAGTGACCTTTATCTCCCACGGAGCTAATATGAGTATCATCTGTGAGTACAATAAAGTGAATCAGTTGTGCCGCCATGGATATGATATTACAGAAATAAGATGCCGCTAACCAATTCAGTACATGGCTACTAGTCCGTGGATTCCTAGAATCTGGATATCATATCAGATCCTATTACTGTATATATTTACATTATATTCGGTCACAGAACTAACTATTCTCTATACAAAAGTTACACACTGGTTATCCAGTGGATTGCAGTTTCGTCCCTTGCATCTGAACTCCTTCTAGCATCGGAAGGTAGTAAGATTCAATGTCGTTTAAACAACAAGTTGTCTCTCTTGCAAAATACTTGCTTTCATGTTAGATGGTGGGTAGGGACAATCAGTTAAAAGTTATTATTACTACATCCACTTACCACTAAATAAAATGTAGTAGAATGTTTAGAGTCAAAGTTTCGCGATTATTGGGATTCGATCAGAAATCGGGAATGAACAAGAATAATTCCATTACGCTTTAGTTACTTATCAATTCTTATTTGAACTCTTTATGACTGAAGTTTTGAAAATCCCCAATTCTCTGGATATGAATCAGTATCCATTAGATGGTTATGTGAGAGAATAAACAATGCGAAGAGTTACCATCTCTCAAAAAATGAATAATTACAAGTAGCGATATTATCTTACCACATTATGAAGTAGTGTCAGGTCCCTGTAAAGCATTACTTGACAAGTGCGAATGATAATTGGTTAATTAGATTATTCACAAAAACTTTGCCTTTGACTAATAAAAAGAAGTATAAATTAATTCCGAATAATATATTCGTTGAGTAAGAGCCACGTCTTGGTTCACTGGCTACAGTTTTGCAGCCAATATAGGCTAGTCGAGAAAGAAATGAAACTCTGTATCACTAGTAAGTAAACGCAAATAGTATTATGTGTCTGGTGTTCGAAATGCATATGCATTTTTAATGCCTAAAAGGTTCTACTCTTGACAAACATTTCAGTCCACTCTCATGAATACAACATGTAACAAGTTATAACTGTGTTACCTTTTTTCTTTTCCAGATTTTATTTAGAATTTTCAAAGCTTGTTCTTGACTGGACAACCTGTTTTACACTAAAAAATCAGGAGTCTCGTTATCATGGTGAATTGCACATATTAGCTACAATGACTGGATTATTACCAATCTCAGATCCAATGAGTACTGCTTTATACACTGGTATTTCTAGACCAGGAACCGTAGATCAGATAAAACGAGAAACAGAATCAATTTACGGTGATCTATCAAAGGAAGTGGTAACAAAAAACACTCTGGATCAAGTTTATGACCATTATGTAAGTAGATTTCCTTTAGTTTCTAGAGCGGTCCCCATTGTTAATCAGAGGGGTATTGATGACACTGACTCATCAATATATACTTCTGACTGTAGGACAGGTCAGTAGCTTTGATAGAATTCAGGTTAACTTTGCTTATGAATGCTGCAAAGTACAAAACCTATACCGATAAATTCGTAGAAATTCCATCCATCAATCAAACATGTTTACTGAAAGGAAGCTACTACACAGAGACAAAGTTTAGGTCAATCAACTAATTTTTGGAACTGTTAAATCTAAATGTTTTTAAGCCAATCACCAACCTTCACTGAACGTTGAATGATTCATTTTGTATCTAATAGTAAAGCTATTCTTTTGCATAACTGATAGCTTTGTATAAGATGCCTCTATTGATCTCGATATCTTTCCAGACAAACAATAAAATCTGCATTCTTGCCGAAAAGGCTACTTATTACGAATAATAATGCCTTTCAAGGATGAGTTTTGATATGATCTAAACAGTACAGATGTGAAAAAGACAGCTTGTTCTCCATATTGAATAGGAACTGATTTGGTAACTCACAGTTTTCAAGTTCCTGGTACCCAATGGTTTCAAACTGCAGCCGGATAGGTGACAAGTTCAATCCTATTGACAGTGTTGAATCATTGAACTTGAGGTTTCTGTACCGTTGGAAAGTAATCAGGCTAGATGAATTCTTTCCTAGATTTTATGTTTTCTAAACCTCGGCTAAATGTCTTATCTGGCTTTTCTTCAGTTGACGCATTGATTACTCAGACCATATAAATTATGCAGGTGTAATGTTTAAGGTATAAGAGAGTGAGGCATTGTAGAGACTTAGAGCAATAAACTGAGTTTATTTGCGTAAAATGTTTGAATCTGTGATGTAGCATTTGCATTTTGCTATCCTACACTTTCAGTAGATACATACTGATCCACAGGATATGCAAACTTAGATCATCTTGACAACCTTTGAAAATTTTTTCTAGATTCCTGTCCAAATCAATTCGCTTTAAACTGTTAACACATACTTACTTAACACCATCGGTCATCATAAGTACACTTTGCTGATACGTATTAACATGTAGAAAATCCTGGTCTAAGATTTCCTGCCGATTGCATATTTTTGAGATCAGCTCAAAACCTTATTACTAATTATCATTTAATAGCACGTATACATGATTGCAAAGCTATCAAGTATCTCAGTAAAATGACACTGATAATAAGAAACAAAATAAACTTTAAGTTTCAAAATCAAAAAGCCTGTTAACATTTAACACTTACTTAAAACCTTGGATGGCATTTATCAAGCGTTTTTTGGATATTTCACGGATTGGAACAGCACTATTCACTAGATAACGCTTCAAATATGATTTGTTGTAACTCTTCATCTGTCCTACTATGCAATTGCAGTTATCAATATCTCACTGTCACCATGCTCTGTTCAGTTGTGCACTTATGTGTGACTACATGGATCCCAATGACTGTACTTTTTTCTAGGTATTTTATCTTACCAGGGTCTAACATTTCCAATTCGGTTATGTTTTTGTCCTATATCATCTAACTGATCCTGGTTGGCTGCTTCTACCCATGTACTAAACTTGACAATAGTCTCGCGAAATATGATGAAGCTAATTATTTTGTCTAATGGGCTATGTAGAATCTTTGAACTTAAAAAGCTTGTTTTTTTTATGAGTTATAGGTTTAAACACCACTTTATTCACAGCTCTATTAAAAATCCTACCTAAACGTTCTGTGGCACTTCCAAATATGGTAGCATAGTGAAGGTCTTAAACTCTCGTTTCTTGATGTTCTCATTATTATCATGATGTGTATTACCTGTGTATGTGTTATTCATCGGTTGGCTATGATTTCGTTTACATTACCGGACCACTTTATGAAGCTAATTATTGACTAGTGATGTTTCTTTTGTTCAACTTGTTTCTTGTTGTAGATTTTTTGTTTTACTGCTTCAACAGTTTGCAGTATTGTTTAAAAGCTCCAATGAAACTTATTTTGACTGATAAGATGATATGAGGGAAAGTTTAAATGATGATTTGTTGTAGTTTCGCATTGTTGAGTAAACTGAGTTTATCGACCTGCCGTTAGTTTACGGGTTCCTATGAGTATGCTTCGGTACTACCGGCATTTTCAATTTTAAAACCATTGCTTGATACTTTTCATCAATAGGATTCAGGACTCATTTTCATCCTATATGAAACTTTTCTGTTGAATGTACATGCTTCTTAATAAGAGATTCGTCCCCATTGCAGTTCAAACCCGGTAACCATTGCTCCAAAACTCGAAGGCACGAACATCAGGCTGAAAAGTCCTAGATTGAAAAACAAGTGCTTCCTGCATTCTGCTGCTAGCCATTAACCACTATTAACATCAATAATAATTCGTGACTGAAATTCTCGCAAAATTATTCCATTTAAATTACATTTCTAGTCGGTTGAGAAAGATAATACGTGGCTGTGACTATTACAATGTAAATGCTAACATGTGGTATTATGTTTCATTTGTTTTGGGATATAGTGAAGCCACGATTGCAAAAAATTTTAGTTGTCTGATTGAGTGACATTGTGTAGTAATAGAGTATACAATAATGCAAATATGTGAGTCATATAAGATTAACCAACTACTATTCTCTAGACGGTATAGATCCTTTCCAAAGTTATGTACCGGGACGTCAACGTGAAGAAGCCTCACATAAAGCGGCTAAGTGGTACCAGGTTTGTGTTACTGGCTCGTGAAAGTCTGAGATGTTTTTTCAGGCCGGGAACTACCGGTCAAACCTAGTTGCGTACACCGATTAGCCTCCTCATGTCCCCGCAGGATACCAACCAACATATCATCAAACTGACTTAGTGGAAGCCACGGTCAGCGAGATTTATATTTAGAAGGTCAGTAGCGAAGATCTTCAAAGCACTGACAGATTTGCTAGCCATCAGCATTCCGTCCAATTCACTGGAAGCAATGTAATCAGAAAGTAAGACGAATTTAGCTTCCTGATTCCCGTTACTGAGGCAACTCTCATGGTAGGGTACAGTCATAACTTATGCAAGCAAGTGATATTTCTGTCTGGGTTAGGAATTCCAGTAGCTTGAAGGGAGCGGCTGCTGTTAGTCTGTGAACGTTAGGGGTTCACTGGTTCAGGCTACTAAAATAATGTCTTTCCAGGAAAGTGAACTTCACTTAGGTCTCTGAGACTGTTTAGACTTCTGCCAACTAGAAGGGAAGTACGGTCAGAGAACAGTTTATCCGATGAAAATGAGTGCGTTGAAGCCTAAAAGCTGAAACTGTTCTGGGATAACACTGGTTACTTTGAGGCGATGTTAACATATTGGTCAAGGAGACGTATTCGTTTTCAAGTGGATGCTGTGTTTGGAGGCTTCTGATCTACCAGATTTGTCTTGTAATGCTCATAGATCTGAATGTTAGCTGGAACTAGGAGCGAAGCCAAAGGTTGAAGTTAAACCTCAAATATATCAGTAAACTAATCAAATATGGAACTATATTTCTTCTGCTGTCAAAGAGATTGCAAGAAGGTACGATTTCCATTTTCTTCTCACTTCATTCTGTCAAAATGTTATACCTTATATTGGCTAAGTTGACCCATATAAAAGAGTCAGCGCTATATGCAATCATGAAAAGGTGGAGAAAACACTGCTTCACTTGAAAAAGAAAACACAATAAACTATTTTTTTGGATGGGTAAAAAGGAGAATGGAGAGCTTTGCGTCTGCTAACTGTCATCGGTAATGCATACTTGCAACTTCAGCACCAAAAATCAGAAATGTTACAACTGAGTTGATCAAGCTGTAACTAATTTTCCGTTGGACTGAGTTTAGAACAAAAATTGGTAACTGAGTAACTATGATATCTTAGTTGAAATTATTATTATTATTATTATTATTCCCTTGGGTTCCTAGTGGAACATAGGGCTTCAGTAGCACGTCTCCAGTGACCTCTGTTCTCTGAGATCTTTTGAACCTGGTCCCACGACAGCTCAGAAGCTCTCATTTCCTCCTCGCACGACCTCCTCCATGTCACCCTCGGACGTCCAACTCGTCGCTTCCCATGGGGATTCCACTCGAGGGCCTGACGCGTGATGTCCTCAGTCGGCCTTCTCAGTGCATGGCCAATCCATCTCCACTTCCTCCTGCATATTTGTTCAGCGATAGCTTCTTGGTTGGTTCGTTCCCAGAGTTCCTTGTTGCTTATTCTAACTATTCTGGCCATCTGATCTTCAGTAGCGAGACAGCGTAAGCAGTTGTTGATGAATGTCTGTAGTTTATTGGAAATGCCTTTCGTGACGCGCCAAGTCTCTGAGCCATACAAGAGCACTGACTTTACGTTGGTGTTGAAAATCCGGATGTTGTTCACGCTTTATGCTGAGTGCAGAAAATCTCCACACTGGTTTCAGGCTAATGAACGCCTGTCTTGCTTTTCCGATTCCGACTTTGACGTCCTCGTCCGTCCCGCCTGTAGTTGAAACAGTGCTTCCTAGATAAGTGAAGGAGGTTACTTCCTTCAAGTTTCTCCCGTTGATGGTGATTGGAGTTTGTTGTTGCTGTTGATGGTGGTGGTGCGGTATCTTCATCACTTCTGTCTTCTCTATATTCACCTGAAGTCCCGTCTTAGCTGCCTCTTCTATCAACTTGTTAGTTTTTGCCTGCAGATCTTCAAGTTTATGTGACATTAGGCATAAGTCATCGGCGAAATCCAAGTCTTCTAGGTTCTTTTCCGTCGTCCAGTGTATCCCCCTCTTCTCGCTGCCTACTGTTTGCTGCATGATCCAGTCCACCACAATAAGGAATATCATGGGGGATAGTAGGCAACCTTGTTTCACTCCTGTCTTCACTTCAAAGGCATCACTGAGCTTCCCATTGTGGATTACTTGGCATGTGGCATCTTCATATAGTTGTTGAATGAGGCGGATAAAGGTTTGCGGTACTCCGTAGTATTGAAGCAGTTTCCAAATTACTTCTCGGTCGACGCTGTCAAAGGCCTTCTCAAAGTCGATGAAGTTGAGGTGGAGAGCTGATTGCCATTCTATGCTCTGTTCTATGATGATGCGTAGTGTAGCGTTGCGATTTGGTCTGCACATGATTTGTACTTCCTGAAGCCTGCCTGTTCCGGTCGCAGTTTTGAATCCAGTGCGTCCTTTAGCCTCTCTAGGATGATGCGGCTTAATATTTTACTTGGAGTGGACAGGAGAGTGATTCCGCGCCAGTTCTTGCAAGCACTGAGGTCTCCCTTCTTCGGCAGTTTGACAAGGTAACCCTTCTTCCAATCGTCAGGTACCTTCTCTTCCCTCCACACCTTCTGCAATAGTGGTGTGGTGTGAGCATGTCCGCTGTTGTCTCTGCATCTGTTCTCAGTGCTTCTGGCGGTATTCCATCTGGTCCTGCTGCTTTCCCGCATTTCAGTAGCTTTATGGCGTTCAGGACTTCCATTTTCATTGGGGGATTTATGTTCACTTGCAATTCAGCGGCTGCAGGTGGTATTTCTGGACGAAGTGCAGGTGGTGGTCGATTCAAGAGCTTCTTGAAGTGGTCGGCCCATCGTTTCCTCTGTTTCTCTTCTTTTGTAATTAAATTTCCTTCTTCATCTTTTATTGGTTTCATCTGTGTTGGTCTCTTCCCTGATAGCAACCTGGTTATTTGATACAATGTCGTCAGGTCTCTCTTACCCGCAGCCTGTTCTGCTTCACTTGCCAGTGTTTCGTAGAAGTGTCTTTTGTCTTTGCGTGCACTCTTCTTCACTTCTTTGTCCAGTGTTTTATACATTGTGCTCAGTTCCTCTTGTCGTTGAGCATCCTTGCACTGGTTTATCTTCTGCTTCACCATCCTCCTCTCCTCTATCAGCTTCCAGGTATCCGTCGAGATCCATTCCTTATCTTCTTTCTTCTTCCTTCCTAATACGGTGTGCAGGTTTCTTTCCACATAGCTTTCAAAGACTTCCAGTGTTCTTCCACACAGGTTTCTTCAGGGATGTTGCTCGATGTCTCCCATTTTGTCTTGATGGCTGCCTTGAAGATCTCCTTTGTAGTTTCATCCTTCAGTTTCCGAGTGTTGTACTTGAATTGAGGTCTATCACCAGCTTCCTTGAAGGCTTTTAACTTGATTTGGAAGGTTCCTTGCACTAGACAGTAGTGGTCTGAACCTACATCTGCTCCTCTTCTTGACCTTGTGTTAAGTAGACTGCGTCTCCATTTTCTTGAGATTGAGATAAAGTCGATTTGATTTTTAGTGTGTCCATCTGGTGAAGTCCATGTCGCTTTGTGGATATCTTTGTGCCTGAACACACTGCCTCCAATCACCAAATCGTTGAATGCACAGAATTCTGCAAACAATTCTCCATTCTCATTCATTTCACCTAGCGCCTCTCGACCCATGGTTAGTTCTCTTCCCGTGTTGTCCCCTCCCAGTTTGGCATTCATGTCGCCCATTAGAATTTTGATATCGCCAACTGACGTCTTGTCCAGTGTTGATTGAAGTTGTCTGTAGAATTCCTCCTTTTTCTCTTGCTCTGCATTATTTGTAGGTGCATAACATTGTATGATTGTGACCTTTCTTCCTTTTGAGTTGAATCTTGTTGTCATGATCCTGGAGGAGATTGGTTCCCACTGCATGAGAGCCTTCGATGCTCTTGGAAACATCATGATAGCCACTCCCTCAGTGTGCTCGTGGTTGGCGTCTGGGTGGCAATGTCGGAGTAGATTATTGATTCTCCAGTTGACAGTTTGGAGAGTCCACTCCCATTCCATCTGCTTTCGCAAATCCCAAGCACTTCGATGTTATACCTTCTCATCTCCTTTGCAATCTGGGCTGCCTTACTGGGTTCAAACATCGTGCGGACATTCCATGTCCCCACGTTTACTTTCGCTTTCATCGAGAGAAGACACATCAGCCAATTGGCTTCCCGAAAGCTTTCACCAACTGGCGTCATTTCGCCTCTCCGATTCCAGCGGGGAATAAGTTTGTTTTCATTTTTTATATTTTGTTTGTGCTTTGAAGTTTCTTTAGCGGTTAGATTTGTTTTCCGGGGTAGGGTTGCTAGCCCTATGCCCAACCTTCCCTCTTTACCCGGGCTTAGGACCGGCTAGTAACTAGTAAACTAGTTAACCAGGCGAGGTTTCTTAGTTGAAATATTGGAGAATATTTGTAGCTCAGGCAGATGGCCTTGGTTGTATTGTGTTCTCTGAGCTGAGTTGTTTAATCGTGAAGTTTTCATCATATTTCTAGACGATATCATCAGCACCAGATGATGATGACTGAACCAGTTCTGTCAGCTAGGTAGGTAGTTTTATCATCTACTATAACTATCTTCCCTTCTCACCACATTTTGTTTAGCACCGACTGTCCAAAACAACATTTACTAGCTGTACACGCATCGTTATGCATTGATTTCTGTCAAGAAAAGATTACCAGTTTACCTATAATGTGTATCATCATGTTTTCGTATGATAGCAGATACCAGTGGAATTGAGGACGTGTGCCCTCTCAAGTTAGCCAGCCATACTGACTTTCGATCCAGTGAATGTTAGTGTCCGTAGTTAAACATAAAATCCTAATCTATAACTTCAAAATTCGATCGTGTTATCTGCTGTGCTTTTGAGTTACAAGGGAAATTTCCTGTTCAAACAATAAAATCTACAATTTCAAGATTAAAACAACCAGCCTACCTAGGGTTTGTCCTTACTTGAAACTATGGAAAAGATCCGGAGCTCAGGATGGGGACGATGGTATTTCGGCATTCATTGAGGGTTTATATTCTCCCTGAATGCTTTATTACCGGGCTTGATGACATCTTCAACAGTAACTCCTTTATGAAGTTGGCTAAGAAATTCACGACAATGTATCTCTTCTTGTATGACAGCGTAAGTATTGGCTATTTTTGTAATTAACCTACATGTTTGATCACCTTCGATATCATATTTTACTGACAGCTTTTTTTGAGGTTTTCTGAATAAATGATAATCTTTTCTTCTCTGTAGAATATCAGACATACGCTAAGAGATTGTAATGATGTCGGCTGGTTACATATTTTCGGTAAGTAATAACAATGAATAAATTGAACATTTTATAGACATTTCTTCTTTAATTTTTATTGATATCTTTTTTGTTGAAAACGTTGAAAACTATTTTCTTACAGTAAATATAAATATCACTTTATGTCTTATTCATTTTATTACCTCTCATGCCTCAGTGACCAAGTGGATAACCCACTGGCGTTTGAAGCGATCGTTCTGCCTTCGAATCCTAGTAGGGAGATTATCCCTCCCAGGGATGCAGGTATACCCAGCCAACCAGTACAAGATGGGAAAAAACGCACGTTTTGAATTCCGCCTCTGTCTTTTGAATTGAAGATATATTAACTTAGGGGAAAGACAAAAAAACTGTCAAATATTATGATATTAAATCAATATGAACAAAATATTTTAAGTGTATATTAGACAGAGGAAATGTTGACCAGTATATCAAGATCAAAAAACTGTACGAATGAAAATATGTAACAAAAATTTAGAATCCTTTGGATAATTTCATAAAAATATGAAATATTTAAGCCCACTTATAGGATCATATGTCAAACGATAAGCGTAATTGGTTTAGTTTATTAAAACACAAGTCATGAAGTAAACCGATAGGTATTAGTATTTGTGATAGCAGTACTGAGTAGTGGATTGATTTCAGGAAACAGAAAGTGTATATTTAGAACTGTTAATTCACGAGACGGAAACATCATACTGTTAATTCTGTTTCGAAACTCAACTAATCCAGTAATAACAGTGTTTGCACAAGAAGATAGTCAATTTCAATGCATAGATATCCAGACCATAGGTAATTGGTTAACCATATCCATTATCATAGCATCTTTATTTCCAAATAGATGTTTTACTTTACATTCTTTGAGAATCATGAATACCATTACAGCAGTGTAATAGTTAGAAATGGCTCACTACATCTGCTCTCATTTAATCATCACACACAGTTACATGGGTAGATTAACTATTTTCAATGATTTACAAGCTTAAGTAAACATGAGAATAGGTTCCTAATATTCTCGTTACAGTAACTTACAGCTAAGTGAGATCAGATAAACAAAACACTTACCAAGACTAGTCACTATGTTGGTATACCTTCTGTGTTTTAACAAAGTATAAAGGTGTTATCCAAATGTCAAAGATTGAAAAGTTTCCCAGTGAATAACAGGATTATGCCATAAACGAAAATTCATAATTATTGGAAATTCAAGAAATAACATAGGCGAATATCAGTTTGACTTAACTTTTTGCTTGGAGATAACTTCTTTAACCAGAATGGTATCACTCTTCCTGTATAAGTCAATGACAAAACCTTCAAGCTTTCGAAAGGAACATTTCATGGCTTAATACATCCAACAATGTTTCGGAATCTAGTGAAAAGTTAAGATGTAACAAATACACGAAAAATCACCAAATAATTTTATCTAGTCAGGACTGCTTCAAATTATATAACCGGATACCTTAGTTACGTTTATAAGAATAAACAGATCTTTGTGAAACCGAAGTACTGTTCCCGTATTTAAGGGAAGTAACGATATTCATATAGGAAGTGTTTAGATATAGATCACATTTTTACAGTAATTTCGTATGGAAGCCTGATACGAACTTCATCAATGAAATAAATTTAAAATATATATTTTGAGGGAGTTGTGGAGATTTGGAAATATTTCAAGTTGTTATTCATCGAAGACTGACATCAGTTGGAGGAACAAAGGAAACCTGGGAGCACTGGACGGCCGTTTCGTCCTAGTATGGGACTCCTCAGCAGTGCGCACCCGCGACCTTCAGGTTCCGAGGCCAGCGCGTTACCATTGAGCCACTGGGTCAGAATCCAATGCTCTAAACCGCCACCCAGTGTCATCGTTGAGCTAACAGAAGTTGGAAATATGGAGCATTGGATTCTGACCCAGTGGCTCAATGGTAACGCGCTGGCCTCGGAACCTGAAGGTCGCGGGTTCGACCCCTGCTGGTGGGGTCGTGGGTGCGCACTGCTGAGGAGTCCCATACTAGGACGAAACGGCTGTCCAGTACTCTCAGGTTTCCTTTGTTCCTCCAAGTGATGTCAGTCTTCGATGAATAACAACTTAAAATATATATATTAGATACATAATTTCTATTCAAAATACGTGTACTTAATTTCCTGGTTCAATGCTTTATGTATAATCTTTGCTTTCTAAACTATGACTACTAGTCATTCAGCGTGAAGCTGTATGTCTCTTCTTATTTGGTATGTGTGTGTGTTGTTATTCATATTCTCCTCCATTAAGAATTGCGAGACAAAGAAGATAACACATGATATCATAGGGATTATTCGGTAGTTTTATGTCCAAATACAATAAGTCATATTACGTGTATGTATATATCATTTATGCTGGTAGATAAGTGTGAATTGCCTGCTAGTAGTTAACATTCAAATCCAGGAAGCTCATTTTCTTTAATTTGAGACTCATCATCTGGATTTGTCCATATCCCACTAGTTATGTTGTTCCTATTGAGACTTGAAATCGTTACCGATAGCTTCAAACTCAAAAACGCCTAGTGGATAACACATAAAAGAGCTGCTTAAACTAAACTTATATGCAATGAATAGTAATGATATAATGTAAGCACAGAACGTAAACAGTAACAATTAAAACAGCAAACGAATTATAATTGAAATAATTATTTGAAACAACTGAGAAATTTGATTTATAAATACGCTAACTAAGTTGAGTTTTGATGGTTTGAAAAAATTTGGGCATTGAGTAAATGATATTCGTCATTTTGGTAGTTGTATTTCCAATGAATGTAAAACAAAATAAACTTCTTTTAATTGACGTTGGATTGGGATGAGAAATCCTGACTAGGCAGCCAGTCTGAATACGATCAAGCTGTAGTAACGCTTCACGAATTTACATGGTATTCGGGCAAACCCTTGGTGATTGAAGTAAAATAAAATTCTGGTCAGCATTCGAACCTCGTAGGTCAGTTGGTAGAACACTGGGCAGGTAACCCGGTGTTATCTGGTTTGAATCCGGCCGTGGTCCAGATTTTCATCTCACCTTCAATCATCACCCAGTACAAATTGACGTTTCGTTATTTAGTCCTGCTAGTAGCTTTATGACGATTTTTAGGAAAGCAATGCATTCAAACAAGTATTTGGATTTCAACTCATCTCATCCAATTAGTGCGAAAATTTCTGTCAACTTCATTCTTTTAAGAACAGCAGGCAATATAAGGAAAGATGAAAATGAAAGAGTTAAGGGATTAAAATATGTGAACAAGATACTTAAAATGAATAATTATCCGGTAAAATCCATTCGCAAAATAGAAAACAACATTAAATTAGATGGTAGAACTACTCCTAAATCATAGGTCTTAACAAAAGTTATTCTATACTGATCACACACATTGCATGAAATTAGGTGAATGCTCAATTAATACAATATCCATATGTTCCACAGAACATCAGATACATTGCAAAGCGCTTTATTCCATTAGAAGGACAAGATTCCTCTGATTCACAATCTAATGATGTTTAGAAAATAGAATGTTCAGACCGTGATGCAGTATACATAAGACGAACTTCTTGTGAAATCAAAATTAGAAAAAGTGAACATCAAAAAGCTCTCATCTGAACCCCAAGAATTCAGTGAAACTGAAAAAACTTGAAAACACATCAACCATAACTCTACATACTATAATTTCACGTCACAAAGTCGATTTCGAAAATATCGAAATTATTCAGAAAGGCTTTAGAAATCATAAAGAATGTCTCTTATAGCAGAATCTCTTCACATTAAGTGGAAACAGAACTGTCTAAATGGGAATGCGCGAGGGAATAAAACGTAGTTTGACTAAGTGTTTCAACCGACCCGAACATACTGACACTACCAACATACATACGATAAGAACTATCAACACATGTGTATATACAAATCTCAATCTGTAATTCATACACTCTTCACACACAGATATAATCTTTATTCTACAATTGTGACAACGCAGAATCATTCATGTAAAAGCACAGTTGTCAAGTTACCATATGTAAGCTTGGAGAATATTATAAATTCCGGTTAATATTAACTTTGATAAAGCTATTAGCAGCACAAATAGAGAAACAACAGTTGGAATAAATTTATTTTGTTCTACATTCATTAGGAAATATAAATATCAAAATAATGAGAATATTTGACTAAAGAGTGTTAAGCCTTCGAGATTTTCTGACACCTTAGTAGTTAATTACTTTAGAGTTATGATAACCAAAGGCGTATAACAACTTTCTTCCCGATGAATACCTCTGTATACCAATGCTTCTGTAATGTATATTAGCTGATGTAAACCTTTGAAGGGGTTTGATTAGATTTTTTAAGTACTATAAAATGACAATAAATAAGTTGACTGACCTTCGTTGCTCTTTACCAAGTTATATTAGATGTTCTCGAAAATGGCAAAAGATAGTCCTCTTCGAAACAACTACATAATTTGCTTCACAAAAGTGAGTGAATTAATAAACGCACTTTGAACTGGTCAGATTCAGCAGTTTGTCTTTAACATTGAAGCTCATTATAGGATGACTGTTATATAGTTGGTCTAAGGTTTGCTGTAACGAAGGTTTTTAGAACCGATCTTCTCAAAAAGTTTTTCAGACTACTATGATTAATATTCCTTAAGGGGTGTAATTTTATGGATTCTGTCTTCTTTGAAACAGTATTGTTGGTAATTTAAGTGAACTTATGTTTTATATTTTTCTCAATAACAACGTGATCGCTACCCATAACACAGCAAGTGAATACAACTGGGTACTGTTGTTGCGAGATCCAACTGCGGAAGTTTACCAACTGTCCACTCCACGTTGGTTTTGTTAAACAGACCTCTTCAGTGCAAAGTCTTCTATTCTCTTCAGTAGAACACCTAGAAATTGGATGTTTCAGTCTATTTCTGTTTCTATAATAAATTTTAATGATGGATGGCGGTTATTAAAATGCTGCAGAATTATCACATATAAAGGTGTCATAAAAATATGTCTAATATAACAGTCGATGGTTGAAGCTAACATATCCGATGTCAACCAAAAATAAGTCGGTCAGTAGTGCGCACATCAGAAATCCCATTTTTCTTTACATATTCTCACATATGTTTTATACATTTTTCGAATTTTCCACCATAGTGAAGAAGATAAAACGTTAAAGAATCGACGAGTCTTGTATCGGGTGGTCTTATATTCTGTAGCTATTCTTATTTACTCAACTGACATCAGCTGACAGTGAATGTGCGTTATTTCCGATAGCTGATTAGTTTTTCATGCATTTTATCTTATGGTTGTAGAGATTTTTTGTGGGTCATAGAGAAAACTTAACAGTTTTATAGGCTTTAAGATTACATTAGGTATTCATTGATCACATTTGTCAGCATTGAGTAACAGTATACATCATCTTTTGTTCTTAATTAAGTTTTTTGATCTAATTTCTTCCCTTTTCCTACAGTACATAGAGCGTCTAATTTACCAACTAAAGATCGAAGTGGAAAATCCAATGCATTTTGCGAAATAAGGCTTGTCAATCGAATGGTACGCACATTTACAGCTCAAAAGAATGCCAATCCAATATGGAATCAAGCATTTGTACTGTAAGTTTGTACTACTGCCCTCTATGTGGCTGCATTTGTGTATTTGTGTGTACTGGTGAGTACTGGTTCCGGTTTTAACACTGAAGATTACTGTTGTTATCTTGTATGCTGTGGAATGCAGATCCAATTTAGATGTTTGTGAAGACTGATTCCTCACAGAATGACATCAGTTGAAGATCAACTGAAAACCTGCAAGTACTGGACAGCTGTTTCATCTTAATATGTGCTTCCCAACAGTATGTACTCGTGATCCATTCAGGACCTTCAGGTCTTGAAATGAACATGTCACCATTAAATCATTGGGTCAGAATCCAATGGTTCACTTTGTTGATTCCCAATTTGACTCAATCGTCATCCAATGCCATCACTGGGAATTTGCCCTGACATCCAACTTCGTCGATCCACAGGTCACGACTTCTCACCAGGACTTCAGAAAATCCATCTTGGAGTATGTCACTAATGAGCAGTGGAGAGTAGTTCAATTTAAAGACTTTGGGAATTGAGTAATTTCAAACTAGTATTCCTCATTGACTCACATCAGGACATTGATATTAATCTATTCAGCCTAGTGATAAACTCAACATCTTTTTTGACAGATTGCATTTATCACTTCAAAAACTAAACTCTTCTTTCTAAGAACTTGCGTAAGCGTGGCTTCTGCCTTGATTCAATTGATCAAAAAGGGCATTATGTTCTAACCAGCTGCACTAAAGAGAAAAAATTAATATGTACACCTATACAGGAAGAGATTATTTAAGGGATAAAACCATGAAAGCGGTGAATAATGGAGTAATGACTTTGAATAACGGCAAGCTAAAGACTACTGTGATGTTAGGTATTTGGTAGCTTACACCATCTCTGTTACCCATGAATCATTCAACTTCCTATCACACGACGATTGTACTGTACAGAAGTTCACTCAGTCCTATTGTACGACTGTGAGATATGAATAGTATACGGTGAAACTACCACTTTGGGTTGGTCAAAATTAGACTTAAAATCCCAAGCAATGGAGGCAAGCAAATAGATCTGATTTTAAACCTTCAGTGAATGAGGTGGTTTGAAAATGTGTTACGCATCATCAGACTCAATCTAACTCTATGCCAGATGTTAACCGAACTATGATTAAGTTGATAAAAAGATACTAGTGACCAGAACGAAGGCTGTCATGCAGTGGGAACCAATCTCCTCATGATCAGGATCATGACAGCAAGGTTCAACTCAAAAGCAAGGAAGGTCACAACCATACAATGCTACGCACTCACCTACAAATAATGCAGAGCAACAGAAAAAGGAGGAATTCTACAGACAACTGCAATCAGCACTGGACAAGACCCCACTCTAGTTAGCGACATCAGAATTCTAATGGACGACATGAATGCCAAACTGGGAGGGACAACACAGGAAGAGAACTAACAATGGGTCGAGAAGCGCTAGGTGAGGTGATGAACGACAATGGAGAACTGTTTGCAGAATTCTGTGCATTCAACGATTTGGTGATTGGAGGCGGGGTAGTGTGTTCAAGCACAAGGATATCCACAAGGTAGCGACATGGATTTCACCAAATGGACACACTAAAAACCAGATCGACTTTATCTAAATATGAAGAAAGTGTAGATGCAGCCTACTTGACACAAGGTCAAGAAGAGGAGCAGATGTAGTTTCAAACCACTGTCTAGTGCAAGCAACCCACCTTCCAAATCAAGTTAAAAGCCTTCAAGGAAGCTGGTGATAGACCGTAGTTCAAGTAAAACACTCGGAAAGTGAGGGACGAAACTACAAAGGAAATCTTCACGGCAGTCATGTGGAACAAGATCCGGATTTTCAATACCAACGTCAAATCAGTGCTTCTATGTGGTTCAGAGACTTGGCGCGTTACGAAAGGTATTTCCAACAAATTACAGACATTCATCAACAACTGCCTACGCTGGTTCATTACTGAAGATTAGATGGCCAGAAAAAATAAGCAACAAGGAACTGTGGTTGGCTGGCAACCAACCAACCAAGAAGCTATCACTCAACAAATATGCAGAAGGAAGTGGATATGGATAGGGCATACACTGAGAAGGCTGACTGGAGACATCACGCGTCAGGCCAGTTGCTCGAGTGGAACCCCCATGGGAAGCGACAAGTTGGACATCCCAGCTGAGGGTGACATGGAGGAGATCGTGTGAGGAAGAAATGAGAGCTTGTGGGCTGTCGCGGAGCCAGGTTCAAAAGATTTCAGAGAACAGAGTGCACTGGAGACGTGCTACTGAAGCCCTATGTTCCATTAGGAACCCAAGGGATAAATAAATAAATAATAATAAGTGACCAGAACAAAACCCAGAATCAATCTGTGAAGTCTCAGATAATCAGTTTGACTCGTGTAATGAAACTAGTTGGTGTTGCTTAAGACTTCGAGATTGTAGGAATCAATAATTAGAAACTCTTAGCGATTTGGCTCCTTTTTTGATACCTTTACAATTTCGATTGATTTTGCTAGACTTCATTTTTTTGTTCCCTCCTTTCTTATGCACTTTTAACTAGTTTATTGTGATTCTTTTCTATTTACACTTTCTTTGTATTCTGCTGTATAACACCTTAAAGTGAAGTGATGCACTTCTGTTTAGATTCTAAGTGATTCACCTGTCTTTCTATTATGTCAACGGTGAATACCGTCTTAAATATTCACGGAAAATTAATAAGAGACAATTCAGAGAAGAAAATTTTTTTTGATGAATCATAATCTTAGTTAGAGAAAATATGTTCGCCCATCAATGTCTGATGGGTCCATACAAGTTCATCAAAGAAGTCAATAGAGTCACATGGGGATAACGGCTGGAATGTCGAAACAAGGTTTTCAGAAATTCCTTATAAAATTGGAGTAAATAAACAAAGAAATGAGAAAACTGTCTCAAGGACATTACGACCAATGCAAAATTGGGGATTGAATGTAACTTTATTGACGTGAAGAGCAGGATTGTAGTGCTGGATTGGCAGTTTCTGCTATGTTAAGATGATGAGTACGCACTCTCTTAAAAATGTTTGCCTCCATTTTATAAGTGACTTTTAAAGACTGACATAAAGCAACGTGACCATAGATAAACCAAATGCTCAAGAATCGTACTCTTGATGGCTTTACATTGTCTTTTAAATAGCTATATAGGATAATGTTCGGAGATGTGTTTGAATAGAACACGTTTTGTATGGCCTATGTAACCACCCTCAAGAGAGCAGGTTCATTGGTAAATGTACATGGAGGTGATCCAAAGTGGTAGTTCATTCTTTACATATCCTTGAATCAGTTGTTGATTAGAGAGAACAATTTGAAGCTGGGTAGAAAAGAAGGTCTTCTTCAATGGCTTGCATAGTCAATTCTTCAGTATCTTCGCCAATATGTCTCCTTTTAACCCGATATTCATGAACAGTGTCTTCTTTCAAACCATAGATGTTTTTTGTCTAAAATACATAGGCTTCACCTTCCTCTCAATGAGTCCTGGAGGATGAATACTCTTCGAAGTAGTTCCAGCTGCACATTTACTGCATCATCCATACAAATCCTTCTAGTTCTTGTGTATAGTGAATGAATTAGATTTCTTTTCTGATTAGTGAAACTCAGCTTTGAAAGTGACTACATGATCCAGTTCAGGTTGGTTTTCTGTGTATTGGTCTGCTTAGGTAACGTTAATATCTTCTCAACAGAACGTCCAATAAGTGGAATTCTGAGTTATTTTCATTTTTGAATGTAAATTTAATTGACTTCTGACATTCATTGAACTTTGGTAGTATTTCTTCAAGGTCAGTATTCTCGCTACACAAAGTGTCTTCCATGTCTCTGTTATATAGACTGAACTAGTCGATCAACAGACATAGTTTACTGTTCTCTAGACTGTCCATGAAGCAATCAGCTATGAGAGGACCAAGTAATGAACTCATTGCTCCCCCATTCATCTATCGACAAAGTTCATTACTGAGTCTAAATTGTATATTGTAGGTATACCGTAAGAGCAGTCGTTCAGAAAATGTCTAGGAATCCTTATTTGAGGTCTGTTGATCTCATTACAGCCAGATAGAATGCAGATTTTTTCTATCAAAGGGACATTGTGAAGAGCGATGTGAGACTATTTCGGTGGTATTCAAGAAAACATGAGGTTTCATGTAGAAGCAGATGCCCCTTATCTATGAGTACCAAAAAACTCAAGATCTGGACTAAACACAACTTACTACTGACTGAATCGTATCGTCTACCACTAAACACATTGCATCTTAGTTTTGTGTTACTTCACTCATATTGAGAATTTCATGAGTACGCTTCTCTTGGCACTCAGAGTACTTGAGAGCTATATTCATTACCATTGAATAGGTGAATCATCCTTAAGTAGCTCATGCCTTTAACCCTGTACATGCTTGACAGATCTGCTCCTAGGCGTTTGATATGATGGACAATAACTGGGGTTTAAAAGCGTTCTCAGTTTTTTATCGGAATAAAAAAAAATCCTAAATTCTGGATACAAGGAATCTTTACGCGTAAAGTGGTATACTGTTTACTATCAGGCGTAGCTGATAACCAATCACTCTGCTTCATTCTTCTGTTACCAGTTTTAAACAGAAGTACGTAAGATGACTTGTAATTCACCGAGAAGTTTGCATGAAATACTCAATTTAAAAGTACTTTTCGTCTCTATCTAGATTCAGCTAAGGAACTATTGAAAACCTGAGTAGACTAGGGATCAGTTTTAACTTACTGTGGGTGGCCTGAGAATTGCAATAAGAGGGTTGAGGGCCATTGACATTTATGAAGTATAGTTGCTTTGTTTGCAACTCTTATTGAACTGTGACTGATATTCACGATAAATTGTAAAGAATATTTGTAGCTAAGGTTACGAATTTTCAGGTTTTAGTTGATGAATGTTTCAGTGTGTTACTAGACAACATCATCACTCCTATTTGTAGCTCTGATGCACTGATGATGATGTCCATGATGATGCTGAAACATTTGCTAGGTGGATCCTAGCTCA